GGAAAGGCAAAAGTTAGTTTACATACATAAAAAGATAGAGCAACTGGCACGTCTTAAAGTGGAATGTTTTGATGAAAAGAATGAAAGTCTTGGCGATGAAATAATCAGTTTAACCCTTGTCATTAAATCTAAAATTGAAAGATATACGCAGAACTTTTGTAAGCAGTCAAGTAAATTTTTCTCAGAATAATGTGCTCAATGTTTGAAATACAAACCTGTAGAATAAGATTGCTAATACATAATCTAATAACCATTATAATTTAACTAAACAATAAATATAACATTTGTAAGATATATATCTTAATCGGTACAAATTAATATACATACGTACAATATTTGTACCTTGCCTTCTACGATTAATTACGATTTTTTAAAAAATTATAACAAAAAATATAAGCCATATTCCATTGCCAATTTTTATCAATTAAACAATTCTTGTCAAATAACGTTATATGAAAATAATTAGTGCTGCTAAGTTGACCGATAAAAATCTGTACGACGTTTTCATTATACTTGTAATCACTACTACAAATTATTATTTAGTGTCATAAGTCTTATCTATCATAAGTAATACTTAATTCTCCTTAATTATATAAAATTAATAATTCGCTGCACTTAAATGAACGAATATTTTATAAGTAATCGAAGATATGAATGTAAATAAAAGAACACCAAGTTCAATAATATAATGCAGCATATTGGAAATGAAGTCCTCACTTATTTTAGTATAAAATCATAGACACATATTTTGCGATATATAACTAACTACAAATCTCTTCCTCAAATTTCGAAAGACTGACGATATTCACCAAACCATATCATTAACTTGCATTATTAATTGCATGCATGCCAACAATCGCAAACACGCAATTACGCATAACATCAGGCGGACATAAATTTATAGACATATGCAAATAAACCCGCACAACTTCACAAAAATAAATATTCATACATCCATAAAACGGCTTACATCACATGCCATAGTCGCAAAAGCTTACATACATAAATCCATGATAGAAATTGCCAGGGTTTTATATACCACCATGAATTTCAACTCAGCGCCCTTCCTTGACCCTAAAAGATGGAAGTTGCCACAAACCCAAACGAAACCATAGTAAACGGTGAGGAAACAACGAATTTTTTGACCCATTACAGATATAATCTAGTTTTATAATGAACACGACGTAAAATTAAGATTACGACCATTCTTTTACGTCAAAGAACGTACATACATATCTAAAAAAAAACGCCGGATTTCACCCGAATTTCTTTTTCCGTTAACTTACCGGCGAATTAGCACCAGCAACATACATTTTACAGCCAACGGCCGTGACTGTAAATTAAGCAAGGCAACAGCTACAAAATGAGGGTATTCTGAGCCCAATCGCCTCACGCGTTTTCGAGAAATTAAAATACGAAATTTCGTTTTCTTAGGGTACCAACTTGTGGAAATTCGGATTTTACCCGAATTTGTCTCTCTTAACTGAGTGGTGCATGAGTAGCCACCATACGTTTGTTAGCACAGGGTCATGGTTACCAAAGGAGGGTATTTCGAGCCTAATCCCCTCACGCGTTTTCGAGCAATTAAAATCCGAAATTCGGTTTTGTTAGGGTACCAACTTGTGGAAATTCGGATTTTACCCGAATTTGTCTCTTATCTGAGTGGTGCATGAGTAGCCACTACATACGTTTGTTAGCACAGGGTCATGGCTACAAAGTGAGGGTATTTCGAGCTGAATCGCCTCACGCGTTTTCGAGCAATTAAAATCCGAAATTTCGTTTTCTTAGGGTACCAACTTGAGGAAATTCGGATTTTACCCGAATTTGTCTCTCTTAACTGAGTGGCGCATGAGTAGCCACTACATACGTTTGTTAGCACAGGGTCATGGCTAAAAAATGAAGGTATTTCGAGCCCAATACCCTCACGCGTTTTCGAGCATTTAAAATCCGAAATTTCGTTTTCTTAGGGTACCAACTTATGGAAAATTCGTGTATTCCCCGAATTATTTCGCTCTTATCTGATTGGTGCATGAGTAGCCACTACATACGTTTGTTATCACAGGGTCATGGCTACAAAATGAAAGTATTCCGAGCCCAATGGCCTCACGCGTTTTCGAGCAATTAAAATCCGAAATTCGGTTTTCTTAGGGTACCAACTTATGGAAAATTCGTGTATTCCCCGAATTATTTCGCTCTTATCTGATTGGTGCATGAGTAGCCACTACATACGTTTGTTAGCACAGGGTCATGGCTACAAAGTGAGGGTATTTCGAGCTGAATCGCCTCACGCGTTTTCGAGCAATTAAAATCCGAAATTTCGTTTTCTTAGGGTACCAACTTGAGGAAATTCGGATTTTACCCGAATTTGTCTCTCTTAACTAAGTGGCGCATGAGTAGCCACTACATACGTTTGGTAGCACAGGGTCATGGCTACAAAATGAAAGTATTCCGAGCCCAATGGCCTCACGCGTTTTCGAGCATTTAAAATCCGAAATTTCGTTTTCTTAGGGTACCAACTTGAGGAAATTCGGATTTTACCCGAATTTGTCTCTCTTAACTGAGTGGCGCATGAGTAGCCACTACATACGTTTGTTAGCAAAGGGTCATGGCTAAAAAATGAAGGTATTTCGAGCCCAATACCCTCACGCGTTTTCGAGCATTTAAAATCCGAAATTTCGTTTTCTTAGGGTACCAACTTATGGAAAATTCGTGTATTCCCCGAATTATTTCGCTCTTATCTGATTGGTGCATGAGTAGCCACTACATACGTTTGTTATCACAGGGTCATGGCTACAAAATGAAAGTATTCCGAGCCTAATCTCCTCACGCGTTTTCGAGCAATTAAAATCCGAAATTCGGTTTTCTTAGGGTACCAACTTGTGGAAATTCGGATTTTACCCGAATTTGTCTCTTATCTGAGTGGTGCATGAGTAGCCACTACATACGTTTGTTAGCATAGGGTCATGGCTACAAAATGAGGGTATTCCGAGCCCAATGGCCTCACGCGGTTTCGAGCAATTAAAATCCGAAATTCGGTTTTCTTAGGGTACAAGTCATGTGTTTTCAGTAAAAATGGACTGACTATTTCATTCGATTTCGTATGCTTATAATAGCATTGCTACGTTGATTGAATCTAAGATTTAATTTATTACTGGCAACTTGTTTGTTGATTAATTATTGGTGTGACTGCAATGTTTGTATGACAAAGGTAGTTTATATGTAAATACGAGGCAAAGTTGGTTACGGTAATAATTAAATTTGTATATGCACGAGTGTATTTGTATATAGAGCTGTGGTGTCGTTCTGGCTTCACAAGTTGAGTATCGAGTCCTAGAACCTCGAAAGTATTTGTGTTGATGTATGTTCATAACACTTAATTAGCTCGATAATAGCCCAATGAGACCGAATCTCAAATTACCCCTTAAAATTGGGCGGGAAGGCCACAGGTTTGAATTGCTACAGTTCTGGAGCTGTAGGGAGCAAATCTCACGTTGCCCCAAATAGGCGGGATTTATGGGCGGGGAGGCCAACTTTTCGGATAAATTCGGCTTAGCCGGCTAACTTCATCCAACAAAAAAAAAAAAGGAGAGGCCAACTTCACACTAATGCCGGTTGAGTTGGGGGCTGTGCACATTGCATGTGATTTGTTTTCAGAGGTTTATTCGGACCCCAATCCTCCTGGTATGTTCCACGTTATAATTAAAATGGGAAGGACTTTCCCCCTCAAACCGGTGACATGCTTGTGGCACAATCCCCTCTTCATTTTCATAGCTTGCATTTGCATGAAAAAGTCCAACACATGTTTGAGTACACCCTTAATAATCCGGTAAAGTCACGCAGGTAATGATTTCTTGGTAATAAATTTGGTAATAATCATACCCCTGAAAATCAGGAAATACATGAATGTCTTTTCATGTCTCACGTAGCCCCTTGTATGGGGTATCGTTGTAAAGCTCTGGGCAAGTGGATGCAGAATATAAGTACCTTGTAGGGGCTGGGACCACACCCTTTTGTCTTACAGACCGGAGACTGTTCTTGAGTTTTGGTTTTGCGCGCATGCAGCCACAGGAGCAGATTGAAAGCAAACATAGTAACAAATTGAACAAAATTCGATAAAATTCCATTTTATTTTATATAAGTATACATAGTTTCTGAATCCACTTGCCGGGACCTTAGCAACGACGAAATTACATGAGAAAGCAATTCCAACCAAGTGTATGGCTTAATTAACAATCTTCTTGGCTCGTCAATGATGCGATAATGATAATATTCTGGTTCAAATATATTATGAATGTAAAGAGAATGGCAAATTTTTGTGGTATTATTTTTATAATTTAGCGTACTCATATGATCGACATTTTCGCCAAATGTGACATTTTTGTCGCCAACTGGTACTTTAAAAACCTCTAGCTAAAAATTCTTCAGAATGGGTGAAATCTTGTTTTCGCGAAATGGGATTTTGTTTTGTCGATTTGTTTTTCTCCAAGAGGGTTTTCGCTAAACTGTACGACTTCCCGGTTCAGATCCGAGCAAGCCATCAGTACTACGTTGCAGATAGGTTTCACCCTTTACCAGACTGTCGATTTCAAGTTAATCCGTATTGCAATTAATGTGGTTTTATTTATCATGAGTAAAAAAAATGTATTTTTAGAGTTTCACTCCTTATAATTTAAAGGTTAGTGTATATTTATATGCATCATATATAAGTCTAAATATTATGTAAAGATATTTTCTAGTATTAATTAAATTAACACATCTGGTTAATTTTATGAACATAATAAAAATACAGGCTCAGAATTCGAATATATGCAATCCGCGTTTTGAATTGAAGCAAACTAAATGTCTTTAGAATCGTACCTCTGCTTGTATATCCCAACTCAAATACTAGTACAAAAACCCACATTCCACTTACAACAGCTCATGTTGCTATAAACTTTTTCAAATGTTGCAAAATAACAAGTTCACTAAATCCCGGAAGGGTGTTAAGATATTTCATAAGTTTAGTAAATTCGTTTGTAAAGTATAATCCCGAATCCACGGTTATTCCCGTTATTGAATCTTCTGTATCCGTTATTATTTCCACGGTATCCACCACCGTAATATCCTTTCCGGGAGCCATTGTTGTACGATCGGGTTTGTCCATAGTATTGTCGTCTCCCGTAATGATATTGACCTATTGATAAGTTTGGAGTAAGTTAGCTGCACTCTTAGAAACCCGGTAACTAATTTATTACCAGGCGGAGTATCTATGTGACTCTACCGCATGGTTATTTATTTATTATGGAGTGGTAAACATTTTGTTACCAAAGCGGTATAACCCTGGTCTTGAAATTTGAAAATATTGCCAGTTGGTAACTAATTTTCTATACCACCCAATAATAAATAAATTACCATGCGGTAGTCACATAGATACTCCGCCTGGTAATAACTTTAATAGGTTTCTTAGAGTGTCCATAATTACGGCCTGGCAGTATATATTATTATTTATGTATATTATGTACAGTACACTCTTAAAAAATTCAAAAAATTACTCAAAATTATTTTTTCGTCAAGTCTGAGGAGGATTGCACAATGGGTGAGAAATTTATGGAAAATTGCATTAATTAAACTAAAGTTTCTGGTATTCTCGTTGTTTTCCAAACCTTGAGCAAATTATATATGTGCGACTAAACTTTATTTAGAGTGTAGCACGCAATGTACAAATCTGAAATTTGTGTCTAATTTGAACTTTTACGTTTCTCCCGGTTCAGTAATGCAGCTTGGACGAGTCTTGCCTCCATTTCTTCGGCAACGGTGAATCCATCCAACTTGTCATTCTCTGCTAGAAATGTGGACACTGTTGGATTTCGCATTGTTCCATCGGTTCCTTCTGCGCGACGGAATGGAATCGTGGATGCATTGCAAATGATGGCCAGAGCGGACAGGAGAGTCAGAAAGGAACACGTGAATATAGATAAATTTCCCATGTTTACGTCTAATCCGATGAAATCGGAATGATTGCACCAAGAAGAAATGTCCACCTTTTATCTACATATATTGCATCACGTGTGTATTTGCTTGAAAAGTTATGATCAGAGTCCGGTTATTTTAAACTTTTTCAATAACAGCCGGCTTGAATTGAAAGTTATGGATCTCGCTTATGATCAGGCATAGGTCACCCGGTCAAAAAAATGTTTTTACATATTTCGAGGTTTTGATACATATAAATATGTTCAGACATATTTAGGCGATTTTGCCAAAAATGTGCATCTTTTGATACACATACATAAATATATTTTTACATATTTCGGCGATTTAGTCAAAAATATATTTTTTGACGAACATAAATTTGAAGCAATTTAAAAGGAATTAAAAACATGTTTTTTAAGCATGTTTCGGTGATTTGATTAAACATTTTGCATATGTATGTACATATTTAGGGGTTTTTATGAACAAATTTAACCGGACTCTGGTTATGATGCAAGTCACACAAGTGCGCCAATCCGTGAGAATTTTTTTCCACTCAAAGTATGTACATACGCAATGTTGAAAAAAGTCCTGGTATTAATTTCCATTTGAAGACGTACATAGCTAAATTTGTCAACTCATCTGAAGTTCTTTACATAATACCTAAAAAAGTATTTTGCATGCTTGCTGCAGCTTCAAGTGATCACTCAAATATTCTTTCCTCATTCAGACCGGATTATGTACGTCTGCAGTGATCATTTGACGCAAAATGATGTAGCATTAACTATTTTTTTGTCCATTAATGTATTGTTATGTACGCTTTTTACTAAAATTTTACATAATGCTTATTCAAGATTGTGATGATATTAAAAGAACATTTTGATGAGAACTGGTTTATTTGTATGCATGTAAAGATGGAGATACATATTCGTACTAGAGAAACCTGAGTTATTAGCTCACCTTGCGGAGCACGAAGCTATTTAATTCCTCTCGTCCGACTGTCTGTTTACGACTATTTGTATCAATTGATGCTAATTAAAAAGCACATTTTTACCCTAATTAGTAGCACGTTTGGTGTGCAATAATCTATGTAAAAATTACCTGACAATTTTTATAAGTTTCTGCCGTCTGTCCATCCGTCTGTTAAGGAATTTTTTGTATCAATTTGACAAAAAGTTTTCAAAGTTATGTGTGCTCGTTGGTCAATAAATAGTGGTGCAAACTAATTCGACCATTGTGTATATTTTTCCATTTATATTGCACCATTGGTGCAAGAATACATATATAAAAATTATGATTTTTTTGTCGGCTTATACCGCACCTTTGGTGGAAAGTCATATCTATATCATTATGACAGTGTGAGCTACTTCTAACGTTACTACGGTTTATTTATGTATTTTATATTGTGTGTAAATATGTGATTAATTTGTTTTGTGTAAAAATGATGCAACACTGAGGTTTTCCCGAATTGTTATCTGTCTGGGGGTCACATGCCTTTGCAGTTGCATTTCATTCCATTGTTTTTTCCTCCCATTCGATCCACTCGTGACAGGCAAGTTATCTCAAATAACATACATATTATGAGTGCTTAAATGAATAGGAATTTGAATATTTTACGGCTCAGAGGGAATATTTATGTCGGATAGATATGGGTAAAGATACGTAGAAAGATAATGGATCGATGGAACAAATAGAGCCGTGCACATGGTCGGGTTTACCCTAAAAAACTGACGCTCATTTTTAAGGATAAATAGCATTTATTAAATAACGGCAGCAATGCACAAGGATTGGCTTATCTAAACAAATCGCCACCCTGTAGGATGTCGGGCGGGCCGATTTTTACAGAAAAACCCTATAGAACCCTATAGAAAAACCCTATAGTGGAAACAGTGTCACCCACTGTGGCCGAATGTCAGTGGACAAAGTGCCACGGATTGTGTCCAAGTGTCACAGGAGGACACAGTTTCCATATACACATACATATGGGTGTTGTCCACGGTGTCAGCCACTGTAGCTGGGTATCGTCGGGCACAGTGTCAGTGTAACTAATTATGTCCGAGTGTCAGAGGACAAAGTTTCAGTGACTAGCTAAAACGCGCATCTATGGGCACAAGATCAATGTATGACAGGAGAGCCACGAAGTCGCTGCATGACAAGAGATAATGAATGTAGGAAGATTGATTGATTATTAATTAATTGGACCGAATTTGACAATAAGAGTGCGTAGCTGATATTTCCCAGCCGTCAGTCGTGCTCAGAGTTTCATTCGCCTTGGTCGAAATATGAAGGCCTTTCTGTGTTTTTTGTTAATTGCTGGAGCAGCAGCAAGCCCCTACGCTCCTTTACGATATGATGGGTATGAATAAATAATCCCTACCTTATTTGTTTGAAATACACTCACTAAATACAGTTAGACAGTATAAAGTTTAATTGTAGAAACAAATTCATTTCTTGCATTTATTTCAAAAAGTGTCCTTGCTTGAACTTACACTTCCTTAACTCATTTATGTATATTTATAAATTAAGCTACAAAGTGATTCGAGCCGTTCCATCGACTGAGGAACAAGTGGCGTCCTTAAAGAAGTTGGAAGCATCGGGATATGACTTTTGGAAAGATGCCGGGAAACCAGGCACGTCTGCGGATATTATGGCGTCCCCAAAAAAATTTGATGATTTGACCTCATTCCTGTCGGAAAACAATATTCCCGCCAGCGTTATCATTGATAACGTACAAAGGTACATGCACCACTCACCTAATAAATTATGCCTGACTGTATTAAAAATATCTTTCATAATGCCCCAGTTTTTGCAAATGTTTCATTAATTTAAATAATAATAAATATGTATGCATCACATTTATTGATTATTTTCAGCCTTGTGGATCAAGCTCGGCCGTCTGGTAGAGACAATCAAGACCCGACGATGAATTGGGAACAGTATCAAACACTCCCAACGGTAAATACATATAAATAAAGATAGTTTTAATTATCTACATCAATACTGAACTGAGGCTTCTATCTGACCGGACAAAAATAGATTTCTTCATGGTTGCAAGCCCTACGGCAAGTTTTTCCAAATTTGGTTAGCATCCTGGAAATTGGACAATCCTCTGAAGGGCGACCACTCCAGGTGGTCAAAATTTCTACAGGGGGCAATCAAACCAAAGCGATCTTCTGGATTGACGCAAGTACGTTGGGTTATACATAGCTGTTTTATTATCATACCTGTTCAAAACTTCAGTTTTCATTCGAAAACCAGTTATCCCAATTTTTGACTGAAGATTTTCATTCATATTCAGTCATTTCTGTAGAAATTTACTTCACTTCATTTAGCTTCATTGCTTACTTGGCCCATGTGTTAAGTATTGGGTGAAAAATGGATGGACTGAAAAATACTTTCATTTACAGTTATTCATCTCAAATGACGGAATCCTTCAGTCATTTTCATTCAAATGAAATAAAATTCATTTTCATTTACTACCATAAAAATGAATGAAAGTGAACAGGTATGGTTCATATTATTCACTAATCTTATCGCACTTTTTAATTCCTCGCATGTAGCAATCCACGCCCGAGAATGGATTGCCACCGGTATTGCCACCTACATCATTAACGAGCTTGTCACGCGGTTCCACGCGTACGCTGATCTCTTGGCGGGAATTGATTTTTACATAATGCCCATCATAAACCCGGATGGGTACGATTACACCCATACGACGGACCGGATGTGGCGCAAGACCCGATCGGATCACGATTCACCCCTGGGATGCAAAGGCGTCGATGCGAACCGAAACTTTGGCTACGAATATGGAGGGCCGGGTAGCTCCACGGATAAATGTGCGGAAACGTATCGCGGACCGGAAGCGTATTCCGAGCCGGAAACGGATGCTATCGTTAAGTTCCTGGATACCATTAACAAAACGAGGAGAGATGCATTCGTCTCTCTGCATAGCTATGGCCATGTAACTAAACTTACTAAATGATTCAAAAAAGGTCTATTCATGAACACAATTAAACAGAAAGTTTGAACTTTCCACAGCAATTTCTCACACCATGGGGTAAAGTGCTACAATCGTCCTTCATTTTTTGAACCAGGAGATTTTTTAAGTTAAATTTTATGATATGTAGCTCACACGAACGCCTTCTTACCTCCAGACTATCAGGAACTAGTAACTTGATAAATAATTTAACCAAATAATTTGGGCCTAAGAAATAAGGTTAATGAAGTATTTATGATATTTATCTTTTATCAGAAAGACCTCTCCGACGTGGCAGTGGCAGAGCTATTTTCATATTACAACACTACATTCACGACGGGTCGGCCGAATAATGTGTATTCAGGTTTCAGCATGGACTGGGCCAAAGCCGAAGGTGGATTCAAGTACGTGTATCTGCTTGAATTGAGGGATACTGGGGCTCACGGGTTCATCCTGCCCCCAGAACAGATTATCCCTTCTTCCATCGAGACATGGGCTGCGTTGCAGGTCGTGGCACGTTACCTCCTCCCCATCCGCCTTGCTTAACGAAAATAACCGCAGGATACCTTCATCTACAAATATAAGCATATTTTAAACAATATGAAAATTCCCACTTAATTTTGCGCAGAGGGATGTATAAAAATTAATTTATTTTGAGAATGTACATATATGTATGACGGGCGGATTATGTAATGAAATAAATACTGAAGTAAATAAGTACTGCATAATCACTAATACCTAAGGTTATTTATCCCATTTGGATCGATTTTAAAGGTGACCTTACATATAACTTTCATCGGCGTCGATGAAGTTGCTTTGTCTATTTCACGTGTTCCGCAGACCTTTGATTAACCAACCTGCATCGTAGTTTCCACGAATTCATCGTTTTTCCTATATCTTATATAGCCATGTGACACAAAAGGCGGGAATGGAGGATCCAAGGCTGGAATGATATCGTGTATATGGGAAAAACGTTAATGGGGTCCCGATAATAGCAATTTTTGTAAAATAAATTATGAACGTCCCCTTTGAGCACGGGGGCTCCTGTTGATTGGATACATATGTACGTACATCCCCATATACCTACATACATACGTTTAATAATTTGGTTTAAGGCTTATCTGAATAATGTAGGATTTGTTTGCCACACACAAAATGTAGAGAATTTATTGCAGTGAACGTCCACGTGTCATGTCACCAAAAAATTTGTGGATAGTTTTAGCCCTCCTATCCATACCTGTGCATCTTCACTCAATTTACCCAAATTGAAGCTTCATCCATGATGAGGGAGTGAAGGAGAGTGAAGCTGAGTGAGGGAGTTGAAAACTTGGATCGAGTGAGTGAAGGTGAGTGAGGGAGACCCAAATGAGAAATGAGTGGAATGAAGGATGAAGGAGATGAAGGCTTCATCTCCTTCATCTCTCTCACTCCTTCTCCTCCGGGGAAGAAGGGTGAAGGAATATAGGGGAGAAAATTAGTTTACATACTCAAATAAGCGTTGCAATATCAACGTAGTACGGTCTCGTATTACCCCATGCAATTTTCACCGTGCCCCAGTCCAATGTCACGTTGCCCCAGCCCAGTCTCACGTTGCCCCAGTCTAGTCTCACATTGCCCCAGTGGAATCTCACATTGCCCCAGGCCAGTCTCACGTTTCCCCACTAGATGGCGCCAAATTATTTACATTATGATGACGCGAGAGACTGAATTGAGTGAAAGAAAGAGTGAAGGAAATAGATGATTGAAGGGAGTGAGTGACGTGATGAATGAGGGAGTGAAGGGAATGAAGGAGTGAGCATTATATTTATAAGCTATTGAAGCCTCACTCAGTCTTCCTTCACGTGAGTGAGGGGAGTGAAGGGAATTTGTGTCGAGGTGAAAATGAGGGAAGTTGAGTGAAGGGAAATTCGCTTGCACAGGTATGCTCCTATCTTTCTAGTGTTAAGCTCGTGGAAAGGGTTGGTGGATAGGCAAAAACTCAACAGTTTTTTTTGTTGACGTAGTACATAAACGTATTCAGCAATGTTATCAGAGCAAACAGATTGGGAAGAGATTCCATCGAGCATTGTACAGAAGGATCCAGAAGCATTTAATCACGCTCATTACGACCTACACAATTTCCGACTAGTTGGCAACATCCAGTTGCAAATCTAATCTTATCGTTGGCCTGGATTATCCATACAGGGTTTCGGGAATTCACATTCATACATGCGCGAATAATTCCCCTCATAGGGGGAATTGCTGTCAAACCCTGAAATTTATTGAAGAAAACGGGGATTTATCATCCAATTCTAATTTCAATTTTCGTGGTGGTTGAAAGCTGTAATTGGGGTAGCGATGCAAACCGCACTAAAAGTGTATAATTAACTGGGAGAAACAAAACTGGAGTTGTGGCATTATGCAAGCTCGGAATTAAGATTTTATATCCATTTTCCGTCCTTACAAGTTTGTAGTTTACACAATTTGTGCACACTTATGTCAACATTATTTATCTACTTATTTTGTTCGTATTTAGCACCATCGTTGGTGCAAAATTCGTGAACAATATGTTTTTTTAGTACTTTGCAACCAGACACCCTATTAGTTCAGTTTTAAAGGCTAATTAATTTTTTGAATTGTCAGCAATGTCATGATATCATAAATTATGGACTTTGTTAAATTTGAAAACCCCGACTACCCGTGGGTATTGCTCATATTTGCTACCCCAAATCCTCATAAAACCCTAATACCCCAAAAACCCTGGATAGCACACGCTAACTACCCGGAACCCTGGATGCATACCACACCTGCACATTTATGTACCTTAAACACGTTTGGCAGAAAATTCCTTGGTTCAATTCCGTTTGTCCGATTGGTTTGGGAAATTTTACTTATTTCAAACTGTAGAAAAATACTTTACCACTCCAAAAAATTGTTGGATATACATAAAACTAATAAAATTTACGTGTGAAGTGCATCGTCATCTTAAATTAATTTGTAGCCAAGTTAGCATTCATTTATTACATTCGGTAAGAAATTACAAGTTTTAGCATTTTGCTCTACATAAACTGTTTGACGCATTATTATTACAAAAAAACTTTAATTTTCATAGAAGGGACTGGAGCCGAAAGGTCAACAATGGGGGGTCTGACGTTGAGGCTAATTTTGCCAGCAATTTTTACTGCTGTTTACGTAGCATTCCTAAGTAAGCTGATTTAAATAATACTGAAAATCTCGTAACGTGGAGCTAAAATAAGTTCATAAAGTATGACTTGAACTGCACATACTTAACTTGTTTTTGAGTTATCATTCGGTAACGTATATGCAGCGGCGTAGCCAAGGGGGGGGCTAGGGGGGCTTGAGCCCCCCCAGAGCCCGGAAAAATAATAAAAAACTTAAAGAATTGCAATAAATTGCAAGAAAAATTAAAAAAAAAATAAGTTATGTATAAAATCTGCTACGCATTAGGGGACTTACTATTATTATTACTGTTACTGTTATTACTTCGTACCCGTAGTATTGTTTGTCGAAAAATAAGTTAGGACAGCTGAGAGATTTTGCAAGCGTCGTAAAACTACTAAAAAAATCATGCTACAATATCTAGTGACCTTAAAAATTTATTCTATATAATGTTTATCGCTATGACCTTTTTCGACAACATGTGACCTAACCTGGCTAAAATTGCGCGATCGACTTGAAATTCAAAATTTAAGCGTTTTGTGACTTCAAAAATGTATTTCTATTTTATGTTTATCGCCGTGACCCTTTTTCGACCTAATTCATAAACTGAACCTTTCTGTTTGCAACTTTACTCCATGAATTAGGTCGAAAAAGGGTCACGGGGATAAACATAAAATAGAAATACATTTTTGAAGTCACAAAACGCTTAAATTTTGAATTTCAAGTCGATCGCACGATTTTAAATTGTTTACGTTTTGGGTCAGCTTTTGAGTAGCCCTAAAGAGAAAAAGTGGTTCAGGGAGGTGGCTTATGCATGGCTAGTTGTTCTGCCTGATTGTAAGCTCACGGTTTTTATGAAGCTTGATGCTTCGTTTTTTTTATTTCTATGCTATTTTACGATACTAAGGATGCGAAGAGAAATTTGGATACCGGTTTTTGATATGAGGTGTGTGTAGGGTATTTAAATAATTCGTCGTTGAATTTTTCGTTCAAATGTTCGTCACTTTTTTCAGTAAAAAATATTGTAAGCTTCGTCGCCAAGATTTCTATGAGACGTGCAAAGGGTGTAAATCTACATAATCCGGTAACATTATTCACTGTAAAGAAAAAGTTTATTTTTCGAAACTGCAGGTATTACTCCCTTTCATAATTTGGACAAGAACTTTAAGTTACTAAAACTAACTAGTTGAAGTCAGTATGCCATGAAATTTGAGAACAGTTAGTCTTTTTCTGGTAGGTGAGACAATTTTGGACTAGTGGTGAGCCAAATGCTCAGTTGAACCGAGCTTGTTCCTGCTGGGTGATCCCGAGTTTAATTGAGCTTGAGCTAGCTGAGGTTTTCCTGAGTCGAGCTACGAGCCAGGCTTCTTTTGGGTCGAACCGAACTTTCCAAGAGCTCGTTGTTTTATAAAATTTCAAGTGGGGTGAAGTATAAAATTTGTACCCGTGTAGTTCAAACTACTCTTCCCCTCTTCACCTTAATATTTAACCTGTTTACACGAAAACTGAATAATCTAGCGTGTAAAATATTTCCTTCATCTGCAAACCATTTGTTTAAAATTTATTTCTGGGCTGTTGTTAAAGTTGGAGTTAAATAGTTATATGTCCAGCAGGAAACCCAAAGTTCTTAATGTACTACTTAATTACCTCAATACAACGATAAATATTCACGTTGAATTTATTTAGGGTATGGAGTATATGACAAGAAACCCTCAAGTTAGCAGCGCTTGATCAAGCTCGGCCTGGTTCAACTAAGCTGAACGAGCCAAGATTTTCTCAAGTCAAGCTTTAACGAGCCGAGCTTGTTCGAGTTTTTCCTGCGTCGAGCTTGTTTTGAGATTTTGCGATCCGAGCTTTTGAAAACCGCTGCTCGACGCATCTCTATTTTGAATTGTGCAGGTCATTTTACACCCTTGGAAAAATTATTCTTCATGCATTGCTACGAACTTTTTCTGGCGCATCCGAATTTTGAGTGATTTTAATTTTTAATTAACATTTCCCGCTTCTAGGACCTGCATCTCAAGGCTTTGGTGATTTTAATTAGAATTTATCTTCATTCTACCCATGGTAAAAATGTCAACGAAAAACATTAACGGGATTAATAGTTATAACTGATATTGTCTCTAGCGGAAGCCAAAAATGAATGTTATCTGAATAAATTTACACCCTCTATATTAGTCCTTAATCTTTGGATCAATTATTCCGATCATGCTCTAAGCCCTTTGTTGATGACCTTTGGCAATTTTTTCTCAAGTAGAGACTGGTTTGATATTTGAATAATCTTTAAAATTTTATTATTAAGGCGTTCATGATGCCCGGATTTTTTCGTACAATTTTTCTATTAATGCAAGTTGTGAATTAAAATTGGATAGCAAACTGTTGTGCAGCACAACAGGTTTGCTATCCAAGGAACACAAGGTTTATTTTTTAACTGGCCACTACCGCTTGAGGTGTCACGCTTTGCGTGAAAGCCACTTGGTACACCACTTTAGCCCAAATTTGCAGACCCTCGTTAATGTTTGCTCCGATTTTTTTGCCATAAGAAAACCACTGGGATGAATTATCTAGATACACCATATTTCCTACAGATAAAATACATGTTTGAGGAGTTGGTTGGTCAGGCAGTGTATATGGCATGCTAAAGCTAGTGGTTTGTAATACTTAAAGATATGTGTAACTATGTATCCATTCCCTATGTTAAAACGGTGTGAGTGAGTGAACGTAGAAATTTTAAGCCTAAAAAGGGTAATCCAATTTTTTTTGGCTGGGCCCCCCCCCAAGGCCCAATCCTGGCTACGCCGCTGCGTATATGTACGTATTGGCATTACCTCATCAAAAAGGTGGGTCGCCAATCTTACTCGTTTTAAGCTTAAGATGAGTAAATAGGATATGGCGAAAGTTTTTGGCCAAACTGACCGACTTCCGAAATGGCAAAAGCGGGTGATCTAAAAATCGGAGCTGACGCTACATATGTAATAAACCGTAGTAACGTTAGAAGTAGCTCACCCTGTCATAATGATTTGCATATAACTTTCCACCAAAGGTAGGGAATAAGCGGACAAAATAGATTATAACTCTCCTAAATTCTTGCACCAATTGTGCAATATAACCGGAAACATAATTTTGAAAACTTTGAAAAAATTGTCTGGTTCTTTCTCCCGACGTTCTGCATCATTGGTGCGTAGGGCGTCCCTTCCCCAATTATTTATTATAAAATTTATATATTTAGCGTCAATGGTGCAGAATAATCGAACAAATAGAACAGCATTTTGACATGATTTTTGGTGGGAAATAGATGGCCCAATTGTTACGCATCATTGATCTCGATCTATCTGCTGAATTAACTTGCACCATTTGCGTCAACGATTGTTTGATACCACTGGTGCTCCTTAGTCCTTTAATAATGGAGCAGGGACTTATTAATCAGCATCAATTGATGCAAAAAGGTCGTTAACATACAGACGGACGGACGGACGGACGGACAAAAGGAATTGAATAGCTCTCGTGCTACGCAGGGTGAGCTAATAAACCGTAGTAACGTTAGAAGTAGCTCACCCTGTAATAATGATTTGGTTATAACTTGCCCCAAAGGTGCAGAAAAATGCAACAAAATAGATACATAATTTTTATGCAATATTGCACCAATGGTGCAAAAAATCCAACGAAGTAGATCAATAATTTTTATGCAATATTGCACCAATGGTACAGATAAATTAAACAAAATAGATCAATAATTATTATGCATCGAGGACTGTCCAAAAATTGGCCATCACTGGTGCAGAAATACCTACCAACGATCACCGATAATTTTGAAAAATTTGTCAAAATTGTCTAATAACATCCGCCGACTACAGAGCGTGTTTCAAGATACATAACTCACTTTTATTTTTGAGATAACAAATGTTAGAGACAACTTGGATTATTGAAATTTGCATGTGACGTACCCAGATAGTCAAGGAACAGTTTGAAAAATAGCTCTTCGTTCTGTACATCCGCATGCCCCCACACTCCCCATCTAAGTGCGAGGTGCACATAAAGGACTTTTCCAATGATGAATTGCCCCATAAAAAATTGTTAAGAAACTGGCGACGACTGAATTCAACACCAGTCAAGCCCATGTTTCTAGTGTATTAAATTACAGTAGCATAAAGAGGCAGGGATCATTGGCTGGAGTTCCACCTCCACCAAAGTGGTGTCCAAGATAAGCCAGGCTCGAGGGCGAGTTGCAGACGATTGCACATTTCATCAGTAAGAAAAATCCGTCATCACAGATAAGTATGCCAAAATGTTGGGGGTGAGCCAGGCAACAGTTTTTAGAGTCACTCACTCTGACCTAATGCGACTAACGCGGAGGAAGACCCGGTGCACGCCCCCAAGCCGTCTTACATCAAGAATTTCAAAGCAACTTCGCGAAAACTGTACGAAAAATAATTTTCCAGTAATAAATTCTAAACTGAAATTACTCTTGACGAGTACTCTTGACATATTAATTATTTTGGACTTGGGTACTTGGAGCAGAAATTTTCAAGCTGATGGCTCGGGCGCAAAATGGGTTTTGGAAAACTTCTCACGAGCGGGTTGAACAAAATCACTCCAAAAAAGTGTGAAACGTGATGATGGCGTGAAAGAAGCGAATGCACCTCGTTAGACAAACTAATTGGCTACACATTGATGCAATTTATAAAATTCTCTAACGAAAAATAAAGCTGTAATAAAATAAATAAAAGTGAGTTTTGTATCTTGAAACACGCTCTGTAGTATGCATTATTGGTGCGCTATGCATCAAGTCTCCCAATTCTTTCGCATCAATTGGTGTTTCCAATTGTCAGATACCAACGATGCTATTAATTTATGAAAAAATGGACCAGGGACACATTAATTAGCATCAATTGATGCAAAAAGGTCGTTAACATACAGACGGACGGACAGGAGGAATTCAATAGCTCTCGTGCTACGCAGGGTGAGCTAATAAGGGGACGTGATCCAAAATAAATTACAAAATTAAGATATGTAACATCGGAACGGATTGATATTTTGCACAGTACGGTGTAATAACATAGAACATACAGTATGTAACTTATTTATTCAATGGTGCGATGACATAATTTTTATATCGACATGATCTCACAATTTTTAGCCCGAGTCAGGGCTTATGGAACCGTCATGTCCGTCCGTCCGTCCGTCCGTCCGTCTGTCCGGCACGATAGAGCCAAAACGGCTGAACCGAATGACTTGAAATTTTTACCATATGCATATTGGGCAAAGTTAGGAAACGAGTTCGAAGATGGGCCAAATCGGTCCAGTGGTTGACCGATGGGGGTCATCGGAGTGGGTGGGGTATTATGCACCAAAATTTCAAAATTGTCGTAGAAAGCTGAAATTTGGTACAGAGGTTGCTAATAGTTCCTAATAGATAAAAATGACTTCAAGTTGAAAAAATTTTCAATTTGAGGGACCCCATAGGGTGACCCATACTGATTTTTCAAAATCGTCATATCGACCTGAAATATGATAGGGAGGTTGCTAATAGGTCTTATTTGAAGAATATGAAATGAAATTGGTAAAATTCTTGTCTGGAGCGACCCTATGGGGTGACCCATACCGATTTTTAGAATTTGCTGGAAAACCATGAAATTCGGCACGGTGGTACGTAATGGCTTCTCATGAAATAATATGAAGTTAAAAGTGAGCAAAGTGTAACCAGAGAGTAACCCTGGAGCTGGTCCATACCGTTTTTAATAGAAAATAATAATAGAAAATCTAAGAAACATTTAACTATCCACAACAAGGAGTTTGGTAACATTATGTCGGTCAATTCGGAGAAAAATTTAGAAATCTGATTCACGGAGTCAGGGACTCTGTCCCTGACTCGGGCTATATGGAGTCTGCACTGTAGGTTTTATTTAGAACTCTTAAAAGTCTTAAACGTACTCTGGCTCTGGCTCGATCCTCCGTGTCTGAAAAGTCCTGTTTTCTTGGCAGAGAGGAGCGTGCACACGTTCGGATACACTTTTGCACGGATTTATGTGAAATTTTAAACTTCGTCCCAGAGATGCGAAATTTGGCATGCACATGCACCAACATATGCGACATCATAATATAACATCAATTCCCGTTCCGTTCGCTATAAATTTTTCAGGAAAAATCAAATGTCATCCCTATCATTTCACATGTTAAACTCTGTTTTCTAAAAAATTATACCTCAGCTCTGGGAAATATTTTGCAAATTCGGGTTTCGTAGATGTCTTCCATAAGAGCATGGGCAGTTTTTAAAAGCTCAAAACACTCCTCCCTTTTACCACTCCCAGGGGGTGTGGTCCGAAAACTGGTGAGTTTCTTAATCGGGTTTTCACGTATTTTTGAACCACAAAATTCCCAATACCATATTTATTGAGTGTTATATGCAAACCGCCACACCCACAGCCTTCAGAAGGACGGGTTGAAAATTCAGGGAAATTTGAGAGCCATGCAGATTTGATCATCGATCGCCACATTTGCTCTTAATTCGTCCAATAAGCTGTTATTATGAGTTTGCATACACATGTGTATAACATAAACATGTGTAAATAATATTATTTAGTTGCTTGTTAGGTACACTTTCTTACGAACTTTGTAATTGACAAAGTTTTCACATAAGTAGCTTGAATTCTTAATACTTTTCTTACATGTACGTAGAGGCCGGGGTGATAAAAAAATTGCAACGCACTTCTCGTCCCTCAACCTCCCTCAGGTCTCGTGTCTCTCAGGTCTCATCGCCCTCAACATCGCAAGCACCAGTGTTTGGCCCTAGAAGACGGACAAAACGATTACAGAGACAACCGATTCGCCCCGAGATAAAGAGTGATGCCGAGGGACTAACCAGACCAGGACAAATCGGTGTTCCTCCTCCTGTTCATACAAGTCAGTTTACTAAATCAATTGGCATGTTTATCTAAAAAAAACTAGCGAATAAGCCCGTCTTCAGCTGGGCGATGACGTAAGTAGGGATGCAACCAGTGGTGAAACCCATGGCTCGAGCGAGCACTCAGAACTATTTGAAACGTTTACCGCGTAAATAATTCATACAAATCGGGCAAGTCTAATAAGAATGGATATCTCCGAGCGTATGCTATCTGTATGCAGTAAACACTACTCTTCATTGGATACAGATGACCACTTGTGTATGCTCAGATTGATGGCACATTAAAATTTCTGCATTCACAATTTGGAAGATTATCAAAAATATGCACATTAGTATTACTTTGAAACACCACAAGCTAGCAAATTTCGATGCGTCTATTTATTTATTCATTTTAGGTCACTTTCCTTCTGTAAGTAGATGTGCACAACCGTTAACAAATCCGTATTCTCAATATGATTCCGGTTTCCCCTGCCCGTGTCCAGCCGACAGTTATTATTTCAATGATTTTCCGCCGCCATATTCGTACACTAACTGCGTGTTGACGACTTTGGCGTACATTTGCCACCTGCCAGCGTCGCAGGTATCGCAGCTCATACAAATGGATTTCAAGACTTTAGCTGAGAACTATCGCCTTATCAAGCCAGCTTTGGAAACTCTGGGAAGACGAAATGTTGAAATTCATCCAATTGAAAGCTTTTATGAGCTTCCTTCTCTCGTGAACAGACTGAACGCCATTTATCCAATATGTCGATATTTCATACTGATCATGAAAGACAGTCATGTATGGTACAGCCATGCCGTGGTATTAAACGCTTGCGAGATCGATGGTAACCTTGTAATGAAGCTGATCGATGCCCAACTCAACGTGACATCGGACCAAAGGATTAACTACACATATCCTGAATACAACCAACCGGTTGCATTAATTTCGTGGGAGGCGCCTGAAAACCCTGTGTTTCAGCGACGGCCGTGCATACGAATCTAATTGTAAGTTCATTAATTACTGATCGCTTTGCTACTGACAAAGGAGGTCTCCCAACGTATTCTCACAGATTTAGACCAAGCTGGTGTCGATTATAAATATGATTAGTATGAAATTTGCAGATGGCACTATCTGCCAATGCCCAGGTTTGGCGGAGATATTTGCAACCAAAGCGAGAAAAATGCGCATTAAATTGGAAAGAGTAAAATTTGCCAGCCTTTAGACGCGTTTTACCCTCTTTTAGATGCAAATCTCTTTGCCAAACCAGATAGTTCCATTTGCAAAATTCAAATTGTACTTATTATATTTGTGATCGATTCACGCTACTTTGGTCCAAAGCTGTGAGCATACATACGTTGGGAGACAACCATTGTGTGTGAGTCTGACACAAGATCATGTAGTGGGTCCTTTATTATACTAAACGTGTATATGTAAAGTCCGATAGAGCGCCGTGGTTCTTACCAGACGAGGTCTGGGGTGGTTAAGTTCGAGCCGTTTCACAACTACGCCCAAACGGCATTGTGGTATGAGCCTCGGATTTGCTTCCCCGTTTAGCGACATTAATGAGGTAAAACGTCAACATTGTCACATTTCTTCACTTTTCATGCAATGAGTAATGAGCAATGAGTATGTTGACGTTTTACCTCATTTACACAGACACAGGGTCAGAAGTAGATGGTCAAAATAATGATGATTTTTGAAATCTCCACCTTAAATAACGTCTAAGGCCGTGGCCCCAAAAAATTTGACATTTTTGACTTTTACGTAATTTATACCGAAATGGGGTCATCACAGGTCAAAATAAAGGTGATTCTTGAAATCCGTCCCAAAGTACGTCTAGAACGTGCACACATTTGTGCAAAAAGTCGTGCAAAAGTACTTGCATGATCTGTCCAGGGATTGAACCTGGCGTAGTGTGGCTAAACGGAGCAGCAAGCCGGTGGTTCACACCACCACGCCATGTGGGCGTAGTGGTGAAACGGCTCGAACTTAACCACCCCAGACCTCGTCTGGTAAGAACCACGGCGCTCTACCGGACTTTATACACGCTTAGTATAATACTCACCTGATTGGCCCTTTCTAAAGTGTGCTGAAAATACTAACCGTTTTGTAGATTTGTGAATCATTTATTGAGAATAAATATCTTTAAATTATATGAAAATTATTATTTATTCCTAAGCATACATGTTTTTATGCATATATAAGCTAATACTACGCTTACACCAGGAGGACAATTGATTTAAGGAAATTTATTTTTAGTACATAAAAGTATTTACTTTTATTTTTATTCTGTTTGTTACACGAGTTTATACAGATTTCTAACATGGAATAACAATGTATGTATGCTACGCTACTAAAATATGTAGAAAATGCTTTCTTATCATTTCTTATACCAATTCCATTTTCCATGCAGTTGAAAACGGCTATAAAAATTGAGAATGCATATATATTCACATACACAGTCATAATCATGATGCAAATATATTAAGACTTGCATACAATTGGGAGGATGTGGTACATACATATGTAGACAGTCGCCTGATAATATTTGATTCTGTATATCATCACGTATTGGCTTCCCTTATCAAGCACATATTTAGTTTATCAAAAGATAAGCTTCAGCAAATATGCTCCGTCATTGCAAGTAGCTAAGCCTACACATACAATTAATTGAACCCAGTCTCCTGCCACGTACGCCCAATTCCACTTAAAAAATCCACCTTCCAGATTTGAACTTAAAATGGGCTACGAAATAGACGATATTGTTGATTTTGTTGCAAACATATCCGTCTCCAATGCTGAAAGAACTTTCCTTTTAAAGAACTCAGCACCATTTTAAATATATCAACACATTGATCGTTCAGAATTTTGAAATATATTCGCAGAGGGTAGAAATGATTAAAAATGCGTTGCTGTTCGAATTAATTGAAGTTTCGGATTTCTTACCGAGTCACACCCCTCCAAATGCGTTACCCAGTCAGCCACCGAGTCAATCTTGTTTCCACATCCGTAGGGACAGGACGTCTTGTCGGAAAAGTGGACCAACTCCACGTGCAGAAGGAGGTGCGCCTTTTTCGAGAAAGTTTTTGCACAGATTTCACACCGATAGCGTGGCTCCGGCATTGGACGATTGTGCCGCTGCTGCATGTGCTTCTGCAACCTGGCCACGTGCGTAAACTGCCTCGGGCAAAGGGTGCATTTCCGTTTAGTCGCGCCATGAAGGGAGCGCATGTGCACGTGCAAGGCGACGTAAGACGTGAAACGCTGGTCGCATTTTAGGCAAGGAATTCGTTCTTGATCTGGAGGGGCGCCTCTGTAAGAAAAAAAATGCAGAAACTTTAAAACGCTTGGTTATAATATTTGCTAATTAATAAATTAATAAGAGTATATAGATTAGATTTATGTAGTAGGGACGGCAAATTACGCGAACTAGAGAAGAAAGGTGTCGTCAACGTGAACAAATTTCAAAAACTGTGCCATATAAAATTTTAGAGATCAAAATAAAATGAAAATCCTTGGTGTTTGATAAGTAAATCTTTTTTGTTCCCATATATCAAACTGTGCCAGATAGCATCTCAGAATTTTTTGTCTGTATTTTTTTAACGACAATATTGTAGAAAATGAACTTGAAATGAAATAAAAATGGAAACAATAGTTTTTCAATTTTTCTAATATTTTTCGTCCTTCCAGATAACCTTTAAGATTCTTTTGTCTGTATTTTTTTTTAAAGTAAGGCTGGAAATTTGCACTCACCCCGTCTTCCTGGTAAATTCGGCTAGAAGAAAATTTTAGCCGGGTTACTTATATGTTTCAATGATCTGCGTAATATTTAAACCTCACCCGAAATCTGGTCGTCATCGGCGTTACTTTCTGCATGGTAAAGAGGATCACCCGTGATTTCGGGAGGGTCGTAAGGAATTTGCTCGATTTTTACGGGAAATTCTTCTTCTGGGAATTGGTGGGGGTCGTCGTTGGGAATGGAAATCTGGTTGGTTGCAATGGCGTCCTGACAGGAGGGGCACCTGGGTGAGAAAAATTAAATGAGTTAAACATGAGATACACTAGGGAGCAAAATTATTCGGGCAAAGGTAACCCCGAAATTCAAATTACAATAATTGAGTAACTGGCGAAGGTATCGCTTTCAATTTTTCTGCAATTTATGCACAATTTCATAGCCTTTCGATGGTATGAAACCTGTTTTTGAAAAAGTGCACATTTTTATGTACATAAACAATAAAATACTGAAAAAAGTCAGAAAAAAGAGAGACAAAATTTCCTTAACTTGTGGAAATTGGTGAATTTTTTCCATTAAAGTAGCCCAACATGACTCTGTGGATTGTTTTTATTTTTCTTAGAAAATAAAATTCTCATAAAACTGACCGGAAACGTGAAGCGCAGGAAGATATCTTGCATCCGGAAGTCCCGACTTTGGAACGTGACCATTTCTCGGACAATGGTGATCTTGGAGGGCAGTTTTGCGAGTAAATCTCTGCCCGCAGGAGGGACAAGGGCACGTGTTTTCTGGATGTACCCGGAGGAGGTGTTGCATCTGGAGGAGGATGTTGCGAAAAACGGCGGGACAATATTTGCACGCGCATTCCGATTCTGCCCGCTAATAACAAAATTAAAGCGAATTAAGTAATAAATAAAAATGAAGTCCGGGTAGAGTTTAGTGGATTAATCGACCTGGTAAAAGAAAGTATGTATGTATCATTGATACAGTATCAGTCCGAATAATTCTGTTTGGAGAGGGTTTTTAACAGCAAAAATCGAACTCGGTTTTATTGCATACTTTTCCAACGGAGAGGCTCAGATCAGGTTCGGATGGATATTTTTTCAACACAAAAATCGAATTCGGTTCGATTAAGTATTTATTCAGTCGAAATATTGCGATCCGGTTCGGATGGACAATGTCAATTGGACATTTTTTCAACGGGAATATTCCGGTTTGGTTCGGATCGACATTTTTTGAACGGGAATAATGGGAATATTCCGATTCGGTTCTGATCGATATTTTTCTAACAAAAAAGTTCCGATGAACCTGAAAAAACTTGACTCTGACCTCGGATTGTCACAAAATTTAAGATTTTTTTACCATTTTTGGCGAATCGCACCCCTCCAAATGAGTCAACCAGGCAGCCTCTGAGTCAATCTTGGTTTCGCACCCGTACGGACAGGACGTCTTGTCCGGGAGGTGGACCCCTTCCACGTGACGCTGCTGGGTTGCCGGGCTGGCGAAGGTTTTTGCACAAATGGCACACGAGTGACGCGGTTCTAGCCATGCGTTCTGTGGAATTGGAACATTGTGATGGGTGAACATGTGCCTTTGCAGAAGGGTCAATTTGGCGAAGGCTTTCGGGCAAAGGGTGCACTTCCGGTGGTACGTGACCCACTCGTGCGAGCTGAGAAAAAAATGTCGGCGAAATTCCAAGTACGAGGTGAAAATCTGGTCGCATTTTGGACATGGAATTGGCCTCTGTTGTCTGTGCAAAATTGATAAGAGGGGACATTCATAAATTATGTGAGGCAAAAATCGCGATTTTCTAGATCCCCACACGACCCTTTAACATGACACGATGTCATTGGAGCCTTAAGACCGTTACATAATTTAGGAACGACCCCTTTAGCATTTTGTTAATTCGCTGTCTTAATTTATAAAAATTTGTAGGGGCCGTCCATAAATTATGTAATGAAAATGTCGCGATTTTCTAGACCCCTCCCCCTACCCCCCGCTCAACCCTTTTAATATGTGTAGCAGACACGATATCAACGATTTTTTTCGACTTCCACCACCCCTCTCGCATTACGTAATTAATGGACGGCCCATAATTTAAACGTTTGTAAACAGGTTTGGAATTAAGTAAAAATTGTGGCAAGTCATATTAAGGATAAGTGTATTAAACCAAGGAATAACATCCACCACTTAAAAAAACTGTAAAGGGGCTATCCATATATTACGTCATCAAAAATTCTCGATTTTAGCACACACCCACCCATCGAATACGTTAAGGGATAGGAAATTTTAACATGGGAGGCATAGAAAGGCCTAAACCACACACCCACTAAACAAATCATCCGTAATATGTGAACGTTCCCAAAACTGGATTCTAAGAAATTCTTGGAAATTTATGGGTCACTCACCGCTCGGTCCTTTCGAATGCCGCTGTAAAAAGAAATTTAGTCTTAGCTGAGTATTTTTAGCATATTTTTTGTTCTTTAATCTCACCCGCAAAATCCGCATCAGAAATGTCGCGATGGATTTTCCTGCTGCTCAAGTGTCGGAGGAGGTGAGCATGCTTGGCGAATTTCTTGTGACATAATTGACACGCAGATTTCTTCAAGTCTAAATTTGGATGGAAACCTACGTAAAGAATAAATAAGAGAGCTTGAATTATTTCATGGTCATTATAGGTTAGGGCCGTCCATAAATCACGTCTAAACCTCTAATGATTTACACACACACCTGTTCACATTCACTCATTTAGAAGAGAATAAATAAGTTATTCATTCATTATTCAATAAATTAATGAGTGAATATTTTTTTCAAAATTTTTGAACTAGTAAAAATTTATTTATTGCATATTCATGAATAATGAATGCATGAATAATTGTGTCCACTAAAAATTTTGCTTCATGCTTTGCTTTCTATGCTTCATACATACATAGAAATCTATCTAGAAAGCAATTTTGAAATGAATAGGAATGAATAATGAATAAATACTTATTTTCAAATTTTGAATAATGAATGAATTATTTTTCCAATTTTTTTAAGTAGGATGAATTTTGAATGAATAAACATTTTTTAACAGGTTTGATTACATGGAGAGGGGGCTAGAAATTCGCGATAAAATACTTACGTAATTTATGAAGGGCCCCTAATTAATTACAAAACTTACGGACAATATCAGCCTCGGAAACGTCGGGATGAATTTTCTTATTGGTCATGTGGCACTTGTAATTATGATGCCTCGTAAATGTGACATTGGGTTGGCATATTTTGCAAACATATTTTGGTTCCACATGGACCCCAGAATTGGCAACTTCGTCATCCTCACTTTCCGACATTTTTAGAGGATCTGACGTGATTTCGGAAATTTCTACGGAGAATTTTTCCTCCTCCTCCGCAAAGTGTTGGGCGTCGTCCTCGTTGTAAATCTGGTCGGCAGGAGGAGGCGCCACTTGGTTGGATAATTCTGCATTAAAGACAGAAGTTTTTGCATATTTACACAATTTAATTGGAATGAATTACATTATGCAAATTATTGAGGGTACATCATCACAGAGATGTGGAGGAAGCTACTCAGGGAAAGGGTCATGGTGATGAGAAAAATGGCCAAAGACTTTTGGTCAGGGTAAGGAAAACCCCGGGGTGTTGCTATTGAAAACCCATACCCCGGGGGTTTACCTGGGTTTTGCGGGTAGTCGGGGTAGTCGGGGTTTTGGGGGCAAACTGAGTCAGTGTCTCATGTATTAAGTTCAGAAATTAATGAAAAAAATCAGTTTTTCAGTAATTTCGCAACAAAACTGGTTATTAATTATATTTTGATAAGTAATTAATTTGTTGAATTTCTAGTCATGCCCTGTGATCATATTTTGTAAAATTTGAAAACCCCGACTACCCGTGGGTATTGTTCAAATTTGCTACCCCAAAACCCACCAAAACCCGCAATACCCCAATACCCCAAAAACCCAGGGTAGCATACCATGCTTTTGGTTTCAACGGTTTTAGACGCAGTTTTTTTGGGGGGGGGAATTGGTATAGTTTATGTTTCCTAAAAACTAAAATTATTTTGTCGGGCCTTTCGTAGAACAAAACTTACGGGCAATATCAGCCTCAGAAACGTCAGGATGAATATTCTTGTTGGTCATGTGGCACTTGTAATTGTGATTCCTCGTAAATGTGACATTGGGTTGGCATATTTTGCAAACATATTTTGGTTCCACATGGACCCTGGAATTGGCAACGTCGTCATTCTCACTTTCCGACATTTTTAGAGGATCTGACATGATTTCGCAAATTGGGTCGCCTTTTACGAAGAATTTTTCCTCCTCCTCATCAGTGAATCCGGTTAATTGGAGGGCGTGCTCATTGTTGTAAATCTGGTCGGCAGGGTAATGCGCGACTGCGTTGGAAAATTCTGCATAAAAGACAGAATTTGACAATAAATTTGACACAAAATTTGCAAGCCATCGCATATCTCGCAAATTGAATTTACAAAGTTTTGTAAAATTTGCGAGATTTTGCAAAAATTTTACTGGAAACTATGAATTTTTTTTACCAAGCAAATGAGCATGCTCTTACATATTTCGCAATTCATCGGTAAGAGAAAATACAGAAATCCATGGAAACAACTTCAAAACAGGTGTTTTAGTAGATTTGTGTGTGAAATCAAATTTTGCAAATCTCCTCACGACACAAGTATTATTCATAAATTATGTCACGCGAGAGGGGGGAGGGGGTTCTAGAAAATGGCGAATTTTGCGTGACAAAATTTAGGGATCTCCGCTTATGTCGGCAACTGACCGGAAATGTCTGGGCGAATAATCTTGTTCCTCATGTGGCGATTCGATATGTTCGGTTGAGACACATATTTTGATCCGGAATTGACATCCGGTCCCGAGTTTAGAACGTTTTTCTCCAATATTTTGAAACAAGAATGACTACTGAGGACGGACTGGAGGGTAAATCTCTGCTGGCATGTGGAACATGGGTACGTGTTTTGCGGATGGACGCGCAGGTGGTGTTCTATCCGGAGAAGGGTGTTCCTGAACACGGCGGGACAATATTTGCAAATGCTTTCGGATTCTACACTCTGAACAGAAAATTTCAAAAAATCAGAAAAATCACATATGGGGCAGAGCTGAGATGGTTATCCGGCTTAAGGATAAAGTATCCATCCGAACCGAATCCGAATCATTCGGTTGAAAAAATATCTATTTCAACCGAATTGGAATCATTCGGCTAGAAAGTATTCATCCGAACCGAATTTTCCCGTTGAAAAAATATCCATCCGAATCGAATAATTCAGGTGGGTATTTTTTTCTTACCCAAAATATTCAGATTTTCATCGGATAATATTTTTACCCAAAATATTAAGATTTTCATAGGATAATATTTTTACCCAAAATATTCAGATTTAGTTCGGAAAAATAATTCAACTCAGGTCTACCTTATTTATTCAAATTTCTGCCTATTTACCATTTTTGGTGAGCCGCACCCCTCCAAATGGGACACCCAGGCAGCCTCCGAGTCAATCTTGACTTGACATCCGTACGGACAGGACGTCTTATCCAGGAAATGGACCGTTTCCACGTGGCGCTGCATGCCCGCTAATGCCATTATCTTTGCACAGATGGCGCACGAATGGAGCGTTTCTCTCCGCACCCTGGTCAGCATAGGGATTGGGACGTTGTGCCGGGCGAACATGTGCCTTTGGAGGAGAGTCGACTTGGTGAAGCTTTTCGGGCAAAGGGTGCACTTCCGGCGGAAAGGGGCCCACTCGTGAGAGACGCGATTGTGCTTTTGTAAGCCTACCTTCGAGGCGAAAGTCTTGTCACATTTGGGGCACGGAAATTCCTTCCGTTTTGGGGGGACGGATCTGAAAAATGGGAGATTTTTTGTTAATTCGATAGAAAAATCTATATTATAAGCTGGAAATTTTTGTCTGCAACGGAAATGAAAGTAATTTTCCGTGACGGAAGTGAAAGTTTCACTTCCGCTGCCAACCAACATTTCCAGCTAATAATACAGATACAGTACAAAAACAAAAATAATTCTGTGGAATTATGAACAATACCGCTTAATTTTCACGAAAATCAAATAAACCCGTCGCTCGGCGGGAGACAGGCTTATACGCTAGTATGTAATAAGGTTAAAGAACGTTTCAAAATTTTTGAATTTGTGTTCAATTTTAAATACAAAGTGTGATAAATCAAATTATACTAAGAATTATAAGGCCATTCGGAAACATTTGATTGTTAAATTCTGAAAAAATGGAAATCTTTTTTAAGAAATATGTATGTAGGCTGACTTTATACTCACCGTTTTCGTTCTGTGGTCTTAACTGCGGCTGTGGCCGCTGTGGAAAGAAATTAAAGTTTGTATTTTAGAAGGTTTTCTTTTAAATTATTTATCTATACTGTTCGTCCAATATTAATAGTCGCAATTTCTTGGAAAATTTTCTGAGAGGTTATTTGATTGTTAATTGAAAAATAAATAATCTGTCAGGTAACCTGTCAGAATTTTTTGCGACTAATAATATTGGACGAACAGTGGTGTAGTGTGTAATCTCACCTGCTAAATCAACCTCAGAAAGATCGGGACGCAGTTTCCTGCTCGCTAAATGTCGGAGGAGGTTAACTTTCTTGGCGAATTTACATTTGCATAATTTGCACGCAAATTTCCGTTTGACTGAATCAGGTTGTTGGAGGTCTAAATAGTAAATAAATAACTTAGAATGTACATACCTAGATTCGCGAAATTATATTTTGCAAATCCAATCCGGGATTGGAAATCCCCTAAAATTCTGAGCTTCGCAAAAATGTGTTGCGTTGCAAACTAACACGTTTCCGTGTAAATAATTATTTTTGTTACGTAACAAATTAATCTTACGGGCGATATCATCCTCAGAAATGTCGGGATGAATATTCTTGTTCTTCAGGTGGCGTTCGTAGCCGGCATTATCGTAAAAGGTGGCGTTAGGGTGGCATATTTTGCAGATAAGTTCCACTCCAACATCGGAATTTGCAAGGTCGGAGTCGTCATCACTTTCGGAGGAAGGATGAGGTGTTATCTCGTCCAGGTTATCGTCGTCGACGTCGTCTTCGTCGCAGATTGGCTCGACTTTTACTGAGAATTCTTCCTCCTCTTCAACGCATCCGCTTAATTGTTGGTCATTGTTACCATTGTTGGCCGCTATTTCGTGGCACAATTCTAAATTAATTAAGCGTTATAAAATCATAAATTAATTTAATACGATAAATTTGCATTTATTTATTCACCAGTAATTTTGGCGTCTTCCTTTCGCCCTTTATTGAACAGTCCGTTCCTGCTGGAGATGATGGCACGGAGAGAAATGGTGATATTTGCAATCTGCGTGGTCAACTTGGCCAACGAGAGGATCGCGGAGGAGCAAATTTTGCAACAAAATATTGCAGGATGATGGTCAGTTTGTGAAATGAGGGAAATTTGCTCCTGATTTAGAATTTCGAATTTGGCAAGAATTTCCGTTAGTTGGAGGGTGAGAGGACGCAGATTGGTCCCAGATTCGGTGCAGATTGAACAGAAGGACGGCGTTAGTTCTGGGGATGAGTGATCCTCTTCAATTTTGGGGGGGAAGTTGGTGGTGACAAAATTTGACCTGTGGAGAAGGACCGTGGAGGAAAGTAAATCTTGTAAAATGTGTCCTGTCCCTTTCTTCGTCATTTTCTGTGTAAAATAGTGCAGATTTAGCAGAATTTACATTTATGTTTGCTTTAATTAATGTAAAATTGAAATTTCTTCTAAATTTAGAGATTATTCGATTAAATTACCCTTATTTATACGTACGTAAGTACCTATGAATGTGTTAAATATGACGTGAGATCGTGAAAATTAGTTAACTGACTAAATTTTTATTTAGACTTCTATAAGAAGAATTAGCAAAAATATGCAAACAGATTTGGTCAGCTGCTGGCTGATGTGTGAGCGGGTTTTGATCAGAGTGAATGCCGCCCTCGAGATGGAACGATGATGCTCGAGTTTTCAGCATGGTTTGCATGTGCATGCAAAATGCATGAAAAAACATGGAAAATGTATGAAAAAGCATGGAAAATGCATGAAAACATGGAAAACGGTCAAACTTTTTATAATCCTGGACAAATTTTGCACAACGGTTGGATACATTTTAGTTGTCATCTTCTTTTTTTTATTATACCTTGTGTAAATGTTGTCCAAACTTATGCTAAATTTGACCGTTTTCCAGGTCTTCATGCATTTTCCAAGCTTTTTCATTCATTTTCCATAGCCACACACTTAAAATAAAAAACTCACTTCACTAAATGGGAATAGTGATTTTCACCGCATGGTGGTACATACATACATACATAAATTTTTCACGCACAGTGACAAATTGTCACGGTTGGTGTTATGTTTACCTCCATTACATGAGCAACATTATTACCGCACCAAGAAATCGGTGACGCTTCATTAACACCGGGATTTTAAGTGTGCATGTTATAGACTGATAGATGCCCCCCATGCATATAAAAAAGAGTCATGCTGATACATACATATGTACCATTGATCAAATTCACAAATATTGAATACACTAATGAAATATTTATTACTGCTGTGTGTCTTATGTAGATAGATACCGTATATTATATAAATCTATGGTAGATACATACAATTAGCATGATTAAATACTCGACTTTGACTCACGGAATATCAAAAATTGACTGCTTATATAAGCATGCAAATATAAATTAAAAATTGAACCTACACATTTTAACTATTTAGTCACGTAGAAGTTTAAAGTGTTTTCCAATATTACTCGTATGTATCGTCGTAGTATCTGTGTCTATGTAGTTCTAATTTACTTACAAGGAAATAATACTGAATAGTCGTACTAATTTATTGCAATATACGCAGAAAATAACGGAATTAACCAAAATTTATTCGCCATGTGCATTAATGAGGAAGACAAAAAGGAAACTCGGTTTAAATAAAGCTATTTAGAATTCCTCAGAATTTATAATGCAAATTTAGTGCCTAAATGTACAAATTTTACTCCAAGAATTGTATATCGAATCCAGTGTGGAAACTACTGTAATCCTCTACTTATCAACTCCGCTAAACTATGTACCATAAGCATGGCCTTCTTCTTAAGCATTAAGGTTTTCCACCGAATTGCAGTTCTTTTTTTGCTCACCCAATACGCCCAAACATACCTTGAGTGTCACTTTGTTGCCCGATACTACAATGTCTCTTACGTGGTTTATACCTCGATACCTTTCTTTTCTGAGAAAAAGGTCAATTCAGACTTGTTTGTTACAGCCACCATGATCAGTTCAAGCGGTTCTCGCAATTTTTCGAAAGTTTATAAAAAACTCATCCGTTTCGGCTCAGACTGTGAAGCAGTTGTTATTTACGACTTCACTTATCATACACAGAATGACATAGAATCCGTATTTAAGCCAACATGCAACTCAGCCACAGGTGTGTTCTTTCTAATGTGGTGGAAACGTGGAAATCCTGACATTTACTATTATGATTGGAAACGAAGTCCTGCCCTGATTTATATATTTTCCCCGAGAGAACGTTTCCCAAAATTGTACTTTTCAAAATCCCGGCTACCCGGTGAAGACTACCAGAAACTTCCGTTGTCAGTTTCCGCCTTAGACGTTCTCACCAGAAAATGGCGCCCTGTCGAGAATCACATGGGGAATCCTATTTTCGTACTGCTGGAGGACATGTGCTAACCCACGAAGGCATACTTTGGTTATAGACAATATTCCCAGCCGTGCAAGACTGACACGCAGCTCATCCAATTTGTTCCAGAGAAGCTAAACTTTACTCCAACAATGGTTAGCCAGTACATAAATCCGGATCCGGACCCGATAGACCCAAAGGGACTTATCATACTCAATGTGCAAAATTCAAGAAAAGACTTAGAGGTAAACTTCGCCGACTCTATGAACAACTATTACAAGGATGTCCAAATTGACGTGATCTACTGCCGAAGATATAGTCGTCTTAAGATATCATTCTCCGTGTGGCTTAGCCCTTACGGGAAGTTTGTTTGGGTATTTCTGCTGGGAACAATTACCGCCTTAGCACTGGCTGGGAGGAGACTAGGGGCTAAGAAACAACTATTCGACGAGATGTACTTACTCCTATCCATAATTTTTAGACAGCCGTGTCGAGCCATTCCTATAAGATACTTGCTGTTTGCCTTCCTCGGAACGGTGATCCCGTCCGTGTACGAATCTTTCATCACGGGTAATCTGATATCGCCTAATGTTCCAGCGAGAGTGAGGAACGTCGGAGAGTTTTTTAGACTTAATATCTACAAAGGGATAAGAGGATACGTGGTCACAGAGCGCGATTTGTTTGAGCCCTTCCAGAATGATGCCGGTGTTGCTGAAGACTTTAAGAAACATGGGGTACAGGATAAATTAGATTTGTTTTGGTATGCCAATAATGAGCTTGGATTTAGGGAATATTATTACCGATACTTGATCGGACAAGATGACACCGATGTGCCAGTAGGTCTCGGGAGTTTTGCAGATTCCTGGGTAAATGGGTGTCTCTTGAGGTATTACCGATTCGCCATAGAAGCGAAGAAGGAACCAGGGGGATATTCATATTCATGCAACAGTTTCCCCATCGGGGGAAGAACGCCTACTTTAGCGATTTATGACGTTCCCTTTTTACACACGGTGCATAAAGTCCATCTGATCGCGATGGAAGGTGGGTTTGTATCAATTTGGAATTCCCTTCAAGAAGTCTGGTTAGGCCAGATAGGACAGGAAGATGCGAACATGCTACGTTGTAATGGTTCTTGTATAAGCGATGAGGATGCTTTGTCAGATTCATTAGTCACATTAAGGAATTTGCAGACGTTTTTTGTTATGTGGGCCGTTCTAGTTGGTTGTAGCTTTGTAGTTCGTGTCGTTTGTTGGTTAAAGTCTATAATTATGGGAAGTCTAGTTGTTAAAATAGTGCGTCGGATCTATGGGTAATAATTCACGTGGAGTTTAAATGACTTAGTTGCCGCAATTTCTTGATTGCGTTTGTATTGAATAATTTCTTACAAAATGACTAATCGAACCCATACGTAGAACACACTAAGGACTAATACATGTATGTCAATCAAATAATTTTTTTCATATTAATAAATAAAATTCATCCATTTATTTTCATAAACCAATCATTAACTCAGGGATAATAGTTCCCTAAAGAAATTAGGGAATGCATGATAAGCCCCTCGAATTTCAATACTAATGTTCCCACATGCCCCCCCCCCCAATTCGGAATATTGCTAATCAGAATAGTTGAAGAAATAATCAGAATAGAACAGAATAGAATAATCTTCGGAATAGTACAAAGAAAGTATTCGATTGCAAGACTCTATTTCGCACCTATTCTTTGGTTATGACTTGGATATATACCTGCTTTTGCCATTCGTTTAAACGCTCAGGATTTTGGTTAAAAGCTTTATATCCTATTTATTTTGTTTTATTTCTTTTTGTTTTATTTCTTTTTTACTTAATGGTTTTCGTTATATGTACTTAAGGTCTGAAGGAGCCCTGGCCATATCAAATGAGAAATAAAGCTTATTTCTCTATATATCAACGGTCTGCAAGGGTGTCATAGATTTAACGGTTCATTAGCATAAATGTGCGTGCGTGTTAGATATACATACATATATACGTCTAATCGTAAGTTACCATAAACATCTCTGGTGGGCTGCCCTAATCAATACTAATAGTCTCACTTACATAGGTACATACCCGATTTGTGAATTTTTAAAAGCCATGCCATTTGTCATTATGTATGTATTGTTTTCTTGGGTTTTAGTTATTTATCCCTTTGGTTGATTATGCTAAGCGTTTTATTTGATTATTTCTATTATTCAAATCCCAATGTGTTAAGGCTGCTAAGATTTCTAATTTCATATTCTTCAGCAGAGAAATACCTAACCTGAATAATTAATTTCAACTATGTATGTATTTGAGTAACTTCTTAAGCATTTATAGTTTGTCTGGCTTTATACATACTTACAATTATAAGTAGTCCTTTGGTTAGGAACTCGTTCAGGGATGAATTTTGTAAGGTTTGTATCAGAAAAGTTTGTAGGGTATAAATTTTCACATAACTTGTAAACGAGAACAATTAAATAATTAGCACTCTGTGTACACCGCTGAAAACTAGAATCAGCTTATTTCAAATATATACATTCGAGGAATAACACAAAGTTCGAAGTATAATTACGACACAAATATATTTTTAATCAATTACAAATTCAGCTATTATGTTCTAAATATTTTGCGAAATTTCCTAAATTCAACGTTTCAAAAAAGATGCACCGACTTTTTGGAATAACGACTCCCACTACCAGCAGCGAGCTTATCCCTGTTTTGCGTGATGTTTGTGCGTCAGAAAAATTAGCAAGATGACTCAAAGTTTGAAAGACTTATGAATCTCACCCTAATTAATTTATGTACAGTATGTGTATTTTCATGTTTCTTTCTCAATTAGATATTTATTTATAATGAGTTAGAACTGCTGATTTTACAATTATTTAAATGCTTATAAAGGGCGGATTGACAGGTAAATCCTGTCCTACAAACGGGACAAAAGCAAGAATTGTCGGGATGTTGGCGCAGGTGGTGCTCCATCCGCAGAAGTGTGTTGCGGAACACGGCGTCGCAGAATTGGCAAAAGTTTTCCGACTCTGAAATCTGCAAAATTCGATAAAAAAATCAATTACCAATCCTTAAATATCATGTTGCCCTTGGGGAAAGTGAACGGAATATCTAAAACTAAGCTTAATTGCTTGGCAAATTTGCGAAAAAAATCATGGTTTCCGTGCAAAAATTTTGCGAACTCGAGCAAATTTCGAAAGCTATGCGAAGTTTGAGACCAGTACGCTCTATTCTAAATCCAGAGTAAACCTTATCAAGTTAACGTTACTCTGGGTTTAACAAAGTTCACTTAACTTAGAATTTAGATAGCATTCAAAAATTTCTAAGAGTGCAGAGAGCTTGTTGAAATTTCGATTTTTTACCATTTTTGGTGATTCGCACCCCTCCAAATGCGTCACCCAGTCAGCCGCCGAGTCAATCTTGGCTTCACATCCGTACGGACAGGACGTCTTGTCGGGCAGGTGGACCAACTCCACGTGCCAAATGAGGCCATACTTTTTGGCGAAAGTTTTTTCGCACATGTCGCAAGAATGCCGTTCCCTTGATGAGTTGGTGTTCGTCCATGGGACTTTGTGCCATTGTTGCGTGTGCTTTTGCAACAAAGCCAAGTGCGTAAACTGCCTCGGGCAATGGGGGCATTTCCGTGTAATCCCGGCATGAATTTGCCCCATGTGTTGGCGCAGGCCGAATTGAGATGAGAAACTCTGGTCACATTTGGGACAATGGATTGCTTGCTGATTTGTAGCGTCGCGTCTGTAAAATAGATTAAAGGTTTCTTAATTAAGAATAAAAAGTATTTTCATAAATACATAAATTTAAAAAACTGTGACGAAAAAAATAAAAATTAATAGAGACACAAGTTTGTGGTTAAATTTGTGCAAATTATTTTTTTTAGTGTCATGCATACACCCTGTGTCAGCTAATCTTTCCGATTATTTCGCCCGTATTTTCTTGAACGAAGATTAAATAAACTGTAACAACGCATGTAATCAAGTGGTGAGAGGAAAATCAGTTCGGCATTCAAAATCTGTTCAACTTGACAAATCTGATGTGTTCGACATTTGTGACCTTGCAGGTCAAAGTGAAGGTCAGGATTCATTGTTTAAAGTTATTGGGCAGACGGACATAATAATTTTAAGGGTTTTCATCTTTTATGTACATATATGTACTTGTTAAAATATGACATTTCACACTCACCTCGTGCTTCCCGTAGATCCTGGAACAAAATTTAAGAAATATGTTTTTTTATTTGATCATATTTTCTTCATACATGCATGTCAAATAAAAACACACCGGAAATTTTGGGAATGTCAGGATGCATATTATTATTCCTCATGTGCTTGTAGAGGGTGCTAATATGGGTGAATTTTACGCCACATTTTTTGCACTCAAATTTCGTCCCCGACTGTAAACGACTTTCGACCTCTAAACAAGTTAGTATTTATCCTAATTATTCTTATTTAAAAAAAAAAATACAATAAAATTGTCAAAAAACTCGAAAAACCCACCGGCCACATGCGCAGCTGCAATGTCCTGGTGAATATTCTTGTTCCTCATGTGGCGCATGTGGATCTTCGACGTGGTAAAGGTGACGTTCGGTTGGCAAATTTTGCACATAAATTTCGCTCCCGATTTTTCGGACTTTTTCGGTGCCGCGGAGTTTCCAAGGATGGCGCAATGGTGGTTATCGAGGACGGCTTTGCTGGTAAATATTTGCGCACACGTGGAACACGATAACGTGTTTTCGGGATGGACGCGCAGGCGGTGCGCGATGTGCAGAAGGACGCTGCGAAACACGGCGGGACAATATTTGCAAACCCATTCCGATTCTGTACTCTGATAAGAAAATTTAAAAAAAAATCGGGTAAAAACATGATAAAAATGGAAAGACGAGAATTATATAAATTAACGCTCGCAGGTTTTGATTTTAAATTTTCGTCTGTAAATTTATCCTTGGATGGATATTTTGAAATCTGATCGTCACGACACGTTTTTTTATAAAATTAGTTAGGATCCTGTCTCGAAATTCCTTTTCAACTTTAGAAAGTTGGGTTGTTTAGATTAAATTTCTAATTTTTATGAAATTTCAAAGTATTTTCTAATAGAAGAGAACTGGATGCAATTAAATCATTATTTGGTTAAAATGACGGACCTTTTCGAAATTGCCATTCTATTACAGGTGAGTCGGGTAACGAGTTAACCCGGTTAATCCGTAACCATACCTGTGCAGCTTCACTCAATTTACGAAAATTGAGGCTTCATTCGCGATGAGGGAGTGAAGGAGAGTGAAGCTGAGTGAGGGAGGCCCAAACGAGAAATGAGTGGAATGAAGGGTGTAGGAGTGAAGGAGATCTCCTTCACTCCTTTATCTCCGGGGAAGAAAAATGAAGGGATATAATTAGTTTACACACTAAACTCGCCCTCGCAATATTAAAACAGTGCGTCTCTAATCACCCCAGCAAAGTCTTACATTACCCCAGCCCAGTCTCATGTGGTCCCAGACTAGTCTAACAATGCTCCAGCCCAGTCTCACATTGCCCCAGCCTAGTCTCACATTGCCCCAACCCAGTCTCACATTCCCCCACTAGATGGCGCCAAAATATTTAAATTATGATGACACGAGGGATTTGATTGAATGACAGAAAGAGTGAGGAAAATAGGTGAGTGAGGGGAATGAGTGATGTGAGAAGAATGAAGGAGTGAAGGGAATGAATGAGTGAGAATGGGATTGATGAGTGAGTGAAGCCTCACTCAGCCTTCCTTCACGCGAATGAGGGGAGTGAAGGGCTACTTGGCCCGAGCTGAAAATGAGTGAAGTTGAGTGAAGCGAAATTCGCTTGCACAGGTATGTCCGTAACCCCGATCGGGTTGGCGTCGGGCAGATCAAGCATATCTCACCCGACTCACCACTAATTTGAATATATGGAAGATGAGAAACTCAAAAAACTCAAATTCGAAGCCCGCATAAAAATTGAAAGGGTACTTTTTTACCATTTTTGGGGAGTCACAATGTTACTGTCACATCCCTCAAAATCGGTACGTTTTCAATAATGGGCTGGGAATTTATTTAAAAATTCTGGACAACAAATTTCTGGAGTATTCCAACTTTTTAATAAAAAAAGCATGCACTTCATATTTTGACACTTTTTGAAAGAACATATCTCATGGTTACGAAACCTTTATGAAAATTGGGCTAGGTTAAAAACCACTCGCTGACTCGCCGCCGTTCCATTAATCAGCTCACTGCACTGACTATAACATTACCGTTCAGAATTTTCAAATAAATTCCCACATGGTAATAGAAATAATTAAAAATGTGCAGATTTTGCAAATGCCCTCATCGATAATTAAAATTTCGGATTTTTGTACCATTTTTGGGGATTCACACCCCTCCAAATGCGTCACCCAGGTCGCTTCCGAGGAGTCAATCTTGACCTCACATCCGTACGGACAGGACGTCTTGTCCGGAAAATGGGCCAGCTCCACGTGCCGGTCCCTGCTCCCCCACGTGGTGAAGGTGGCTGCACACAGGTCACAGGAATGCCGCGTTTTCTTGCGGGGAATACTTGGCACGTCGTGAGATTTGTGCAGGTGCCTCTGCAAGGCGTGTAAGTCCACGAAAGTTTTGGAGCAGTGGGGGCACTTGCGACGGAAAGGGGTCCAGTCGTGCACGTGGCGGCGATGTAGGGCTAACCGACTTTTGGAAAAGAAACGATTGTCGCAAGCGGGACATTGAAACAGGTTCTGCTTTAGAGGGACGCCTCTGTAAAAAATGGACGAAATTTGGTTAGGGTACGTTCATACAGTGTGGTTTAGAAGTCTCCATTAGTTACCGAAATTTTGCATGTGAAATTCAGTATTTTAAGAATTTTGTCATCAGTGTTCCATAGGTTTTGATAAAAATTAAGAAAACTTTCAATCGCAAATCCGTAACTAATGGAAATTTACGAATTTTTCCCATTGAAAAATTTTCCATTGTAACCTGACTTTTAAACCACCCTGTATATCAAGTAAAAAAAGCTTGGTGGCTGTTTCTGTGTCGCCTGTTCACTTATTACCTGTTCACTTTCATTCATGTGACTGATTATAATAGTGAATGAAAATGAATTTCGTGTGATTTGAGTGAAAATGAGTGAAAGATTCTGTCATTTCAGATGAGTGACTGTGAATGAAAGGATTTCTCACTCCTTTCATTTTTCACCCTATGCTTAATACATACATATTTATGGAGTTGTCTGAGATGCAGGAATACTTACCGTGGTATCCTCCGCTTATCCTTAGTTAGTGCCGCTGTGGATGGAGGGAAATTTAAATTAGAAATATGTATAAATTACTTTTTTCCCCGCTACATATATTTATAATCTCACCCGCAATGTCCTCGTCGGAAAGGCCGGGATGAATATTCTTGTTGCTCAAGTAGCGGCCGTAAGCGACCCTGCTGGTAAAGGGGACGTTAGGGAGGCACATTTTGCACACGTGGTTGGTGGCTTCAGTGTCCCCTTGGGAATTTTCTAATTCGGGTGCTGAAAGAAATTTCAACTCGGGATTAAATACATATTTAAGTGCGTTTTTTTGTGAGTAGGATCAGTGGCCGCGTTAGGGAGCGGGGGGACAGGGGGCCGGGTCTTTCCTAAATACGTTAATATGCCCACTTTTTGTTTATGAGCCGTAGACAAAGTAATTTTTGCATTTCCTAATCCGGGAATCTTTACAAATTCAATTGTCCATAAATTGGGAGACTACATATTTACATAAATATATATTTAAAACTAACTCAGCTTAAACTATGTAAAACTCACCCGAACCGTCCACCTCGGAAAGGTCGGGATGTATCTTCTTGTTCCTCAAATGCCGGAGGAGTCCATGGTTTCTGGCGAATTTTATGTTACAAAATTTGCACGCAAATTTCTTTCCTGCAGAAATTCTTTGGTCTTCTGTAAGTAAATTGAATAAATTTGTTGAATTATTGGAATAATTTCTTCGCGGAAATCTTACCAACAATGTCAACCTCGCGATGAAACTTCTTGTTCCTCATGTGGCGCCGAAGGGTGGCACGTGTCGCAAAGGTGACGTTAGGTTTGCATATTTTGCACACATGGTTCGATTCGAATTTGGCGAACTGGGAATTTGCAACCTCTGCGTCAGACTCGGACTCGCTTTGAGACATTTCTGGTGGGTCATAGAGCGGATCAGACCTGGTTTCGTCGTCTGGCTCGACTTTTACGGGGAATTCTTCCACCTCCTCTGCAAGGCATCCGGTTAATTGTTGGGCGTCCCCATTGTTAGAAATCTGCTCGTCGGCAGGGGCGACTTTGGGGGGAAACTCTGTAACAAAAACATTATTTAATTACAGTTCAATTTAAGGATTAAACCATAATTAACAAAATTGTTTAGCGTATTCGCATCACAAACTATGTACAGGTGAAAAACAGCGAAATATTTTTTTAAAAAAAGCTCTGGAGAGTAATAAATAAATAAAACTTTAGCTTAATTTAATGGAATTTGGGTTTTCTTATAAAATTTAAAATTCTATATTTGACCTTCGACCTGTGGTTAAGGTATTTACGTTTCAAATGCAAAATTAATTTGCAGAAATTTTTGTTTTGTGAATTAAAAATTTTTGTCAAGTTTTCATTCGCAACGCGTGAGTAATGAATACAGTAAAGGTTACTCTAATTTCTAATTCTAATTTTTTGAAAAAATTAAATTGAAAAAAAAACTCACCGGAAACGTGAGGAGAGGCAACACATATTGAAACAGGGGCGACATCTGGTCTCGCGAAATTTCTCACTTCCGTGTCGGCATTTTTGGGACAGCGGTGCACTCGGAGGACAGATTGGCGGGTGAATCGTTGCGCACAAGTGGGGCACGAGTACGTGTTTTCGGGATGCGCGCGCAGGTGATGTTCCATCTCCAGGAGGATGCTGCGAAACACGGCGGGACAATATTTGCATGCGCATTCCGACTCGTCACTCTAATTTTAAAAAAACGGCTTAATAAATATTCATTTTACTGAGTGTTCGGAATCCGAACTTGGGATAGTTTCAAAATTTCTGATTTTTTTTACTATTTTCGGAGAGTCGCACCCCTCCAAATGCGTCACCCAGTCAGCCTCCGAGTCAATCTTGGCTTCACATCCGTACGGACAGGACGTCTTGTCAGGGAAATGGAACTGTTCCACGTGGCATTGCTTGCTGGCGAAGGTGGTCATGGTTTTCGAACACATGGCACAGGAATGACGCGTTTCTTGCCGCGGGATTGGGGCATTGTGCGCTTTGTGCATGTGCCTCTGCAATAAGGTCAGCTTCGTGAAGACTTTCGGGCAAAGGGTACACTTCCGGCGGTAAGGGACCCAGTCGTGAGAGCTGCGATTGTGCTGGCGTAACCCGAAGGGCGAGGCGAAACTCTGGTCACATTTTGGACATGGAAAGGGACGTTTTTGGGGGACGAGGCTGCAAAAAATATGAGAAGGGGCCGTCCATAAATTACGTGAGTAAAAAATCGCGATTTTTAGACCCTCCTTTAACATAAGGAAGATAGACCCACAGCCCCAGGGAGGATCCCAACCCATTACCTGGCGTCGTGGGTATGTCAACAACTTAGGTGTCAGGTTAGGCTGAATCTTCTTATTTCCTTATCATATAAAGCCATTTCTTTCAGTTTTTCGTGAATGAATGAAATACGAAATTATATCTCTAAGTTTTCGGCATATTTTAAATCATGGCCTAATTATAGCTGCATTTGTATGATGATTATTCCGTTTTTTTTAAGAATAGTTGTGTTTGGAATTCTCATTGTACGAACTAATCTTAAATATATGTAATAAAGGGTTGAAATTCCCTAAATTTATTTGAGTCGAAAAAAATAAAAATAAAAATAAGGAAGATATCATTGGGGCCTTACACACCCCACTCCTCCATTTCACGTTACGTAATTTATGGACGACCCCCAATCAATTTTGCTACTTTAATACCTTGGATTTTGAAAAAAAAATAAATTAACAGTTCTTTTCTGTGAAAAAATTTTTGTAAGCATGCCAGGACTTGAATAAATTATGGGAAATCAAATTATGGTACGAATTAAATCAAGAAGATTCAGTTTTGAAAAACAACCAACTAGAAAATGGAACGTTCATATATTACTAACTGACGGCTAAGAGATAGAGGTGAAATGGATTACCAAAATGAAAAATCCATCCAATCCAAAATCCATTTGGATTTATCCAATCCATCCAATCCATTCGAAATTTTGTAAAAAAAATATCCAATCCAGTCCATAACTTTTAAACCACTAAAAATCCAATCGAACTCAAACCAAAAACAAAAAATCTATATTATCCAGCACTTGTTTTAAATTAAGCCAATATAAGCTAGTTTAACAACATGGATATAATGTTTCCAAAATCAGCAAAACTATATTTTAAAAAATACTACCATGATATACACACCTATTGTTAAATTTCGGTATATCTTGAATATAACAACTAGTTTATACAACCGCCAATCGACAGGCAAAAATTAAATGCAACATTAGTGAATTTAGCCCTCCTTTCAAATGCCAATATGCTACAGATTACAGACCAAACCAGCAATACACTCGCTTGCTTTAAGTTAAAAATATAAGTAGATACATAAATACATAGATTTTAGAATATTAAGAATGACATAACGTCCTGGTTATGATTTCTATTTAGAGTGAAAATCCATCCAATCCAATCCAGATTTCTGATTATCCAATCCAATCCATAATTTTTCCACAACCAAAAATCCGTCCAATCCAATCCATATCCATGGATTGGATTCCGAATGGATTGGATAATGTGGATATCCATTTCACCTCTAGACCTAACTAAACTATCCACCTCCCGTTTTGATGACGGAATACGTGAACCTCCCCAAACTGGATGAGGTCTAAAATTGTTGGTAAATTATACTCACCGCTTTCGCTGTGCTGTCTTCAATGCGGCTGAAAGAAATTATTTTTGAATATTTATATTTTTGTCTGTTTTTAACATAGTTTTTTAATCTTAGGGGCCGTGCATAAATGGAAAAATCGCGATTTCTAGACTCCCCTTAAACATATGAACGTTATCATTGAAGCCTTCGCCCCTCCCCCATCCCACTTTTACGTTACGTAATTTATGGGCGACCCCTCACCCGCAATATCAGCCTCGGAAACGCCTCGATGCATATTCTTGTTCCTCAGGTGGCGTAAAAGGGGATGATTTTTAGCGAATGTGACGTTGGGTTGGCATATTTTGCAGACATATTTTGATTTCGGAAGGGCATCAGAATTTGCAACTCGGAACTCGTCCTCAATTTCTGACGCCGATTTTGGTTCGTAGAGAGGGTCAAACGTGATTTCGTCGTCGTACGTTGGCTCGACTTTTACGGAGAATTCTTCCTCCTCCTCTTCAGAAATCGGGTTAATTGTTGGTCATCCTCATAGCCGACTTGGTGGGGAAATTCTAGGTTAGTTTTTAATATAAATTCCTACTTTAATTGGAATTTAGTTTAATTAAATAAGTAGATTGCTATTTACTTACCAATAATTTCATTTCGCGCTTTATTGAACACTCCGTTCCTGCTGGAGATGACGGCACGGAGAGAAATGGTGATATTTTCTATTTCCATGGACAACTTGGCCAACGAGAGGATCGCGGAGGAGCAAATTTTGCAACAAAATATTGGCGGATGATCTTCGGTTTGTAAAATGAGAGAAATTTGCTCCTGATTTAGAACGAATTTGGCGAGAATTTCCGTTTCTTGGACGGCGAGAGGACGCATATTTGTCCCAGATTCGGTGCAGATTGAACAGGGGGACGATGTTACTTCTGGGTATGAGTTTTCCTCCTCGATTTTCACGGGAAAGTTGGTGGGGATAAAATTTGACCTCTGGAGAACGACCTTAGAGGAGAGTAAGTCTTGTAAAATGTGTCCGGTCCCATTTTTCTCGAAAGTAGAACCACCGTCTGATTCCTTTGTCATTTTCTGTATGCAAAAAGTATGCAAAAAGTGATACCGTTATCTTAAAGAACGAAGAATTACTTAATCTAAAATTGAAACTAAACGTATGTATTATTCGTTTAATTACTCTCATTTACGTACCTATTACGTGTTGAATGACGGTCCGATGGTGAAAATATTGTACTCAATTTATGTTAAATTTATAGCAGAAAAATTGACTAAAATTTAATTTAGCAGGAGACTTTTGGTATTGTGTATTGTCAGCTGCTGATCTGTGCATGTCGGGTTTTTTTGATCCGAGTGAATGCCGCTCTCGAGATGGAACAATGATGATGATGTTGAGTTTTCATAGTTGTTTGCATATGCATGAAAAACTTGGTTTGCATATATGCAAACCAAGTTTTGATTCTAGCCTTCTGGATCACTTCTTTTTTTGCATTTTGCCACGTTTCAGACTATTTTAAGACTTGTTTTTTGCACAAAAAAAAATTTCGAAAATTTTCTATTTTTTTTAAATTCTACCTTCCTGGACCACTTATTGGGGTATTGTTCGTAAGCGAGCACGTTATGCGGAAAATGATGCGTCAAATATGCGTAAAATATTCGGAAAACGTGTCCTAGCTAGTTTAGTAAAAGAAGTAAGTAACCGCAAACCAAGTTTGCATATGCATGAAAAAGTCGTCAGACCCCATTTTTGGACACATTTACGACTTTATTTCGGCCATACAATTTTGTAAATTTAAAAAAACTTTGGATTTATTTAGTGTCAGTGGTATGAGTCAGAGATCGACGCCGACAAATTTTCGGCGGCGGCGGCGCAAGTTTTTGGTGATTTTCCGGCGGCGTCGGCGGCGCGGCGCGGCGCGGCGTCGCAATGTTAAAGGAATAGGAAATCAAATTTTTTGGCGGCGGCGGCGCGTAAAATTCATCGGCGTATGGCGGCGCGGCGGCGTGAGATCGGCGGCGTCGACCTCTGGTATGAGTTACTGAGTCTGAAATTTTCAGAATTTCAGAACCCCACCACCTGCCGGCTAACTCCTCCCATTGGGGGTGTGGTCGATAAAAATTTCTAGGATGTATTTACTGCTTCCCTCTGATTCTAAATATGCATGCATTTCATTTATTATACCCCAAGGAACTTGTGTGACGTTTTCCGGCATTAGATTACTCTGTGTATTGCCAGGATTCTCAACGAATGTTTGGCACGAATTTGATCCCATATGTTATTTTTCTCCGTGTTTTTTCTGCCTCTAGTGAATCGTGGTAAGAACTTTGAACTTTATTGGTAGAAATTTGTAAAAATACTTGTAACATTTTCAGTATATGTACGTGAAGTAAATTTTCTACCAGTCAGTAATCATACATCACATGACAATTAGTCGTGATTAGTGATTAGTTACCGGAGTGTTTACAGTGTATATACATACGTATAACTTTGTAGATATATAAATTACAAGCATGGAATTTTCGTAAATGTCACAAATATACGTTATTTTCGCGAAAGCCTTCATTATAAATTAACTGTTTTTTTAATGCGCTGCACATCTTCAAGAGTATATACATATTTAAAAACTTTATGTTTACGTCATAAAATTTGTCTATTTTCAGATAATCATGAGTCATGACGAGGACGGTGTGTTCGACGAGGTGGAAATCAAGGTGGAACATGACGAAGACAATTTTGACCAGGTCGTTGACCCGCTGCGTGATGTAGATGAATTTCTTAACGGTCACAATTGCCATGGCAGGATGGATGTAAGTCTTAAAGAAAACGGGATGGCGAAATCCGGGCAAAAATATAGCGACCCTGGCAATGATTTGTGTGCCACGCTTTCTCCAACAATGAAAAATCACCAAGTTATAATACGGTATAACATTATGTTTTTTTAAATTTGCCAATATCATTTATTATGTAGTTGGGACACGGGAAAAATCCATCGGAAAAATGCCATCCATATATTACGACAGAAAAGTGTAGCTTTCATTTGACTATTTTATTTAAATTCTAATATAGAAAACGGAAAAGAGACGATTCACCGCCCCCATCGGCAAAAAGGTCAAAATCTAGAATCAGTACCAATTCCCGACCTCAAACCAACTCCAGCCAGTGTTCGAAAACCACTTGGCAACCAAGACATGCGGGCCCCTGTCTTACTTCTAAAGTCGACCAGGATCCAAAATCTGAACAAACCCTTGGTGCGTCCTCTGTCCCCAGAAGTGATCGCGACATCACCCTTCGTGATGATGCTGGTGTCGCAGATGAGACACCTGAAATCAAGGTTGAATATCCCGTCGACTTTGACCTCGACTACAGCGCTGATGATCCAGTTCTTGGTGACAATGACGTTTCCTGCAAGTCTGTGATCAGTGGCGGCGCAAGTGAGGAAGAAATGAGTACGCATGACGATGACCCTGATTTCTGCATTGACAAGGAGAAAAAGAGGAGACGCGGGGGCCCTAAAACAACGCGAGATACGAAACAGTATGTAAATTTAATGTATTATGAAACAAATCCCTCCCATTAATACATTAATTGTGTATCTCCTTGCTCGCCTTATTTTGCACCTTTTGTGTAAGGTTAAAACCAAATAATTATTTCAGGCTGAGCTACTTCTAATGTTACTACGGTTTATTTTAGACCAATTCCCCGACGCTATCCAGAAACCAACGACGTCTGCCACATTTGTGGGAAACGTTTCCGCCACCGTTTCCGTCTCAACGAGCACCTCAAGCGGCACGATGAAAGAAACAGGTTCGTGTGCGAGACTTGTGGGCAAAAGTTTCTGGAACGGAAAAGCTTAACGTCGCACCGCATTAGTAAGCACGGTGGTGACCCGTTTGTTTGCGATGAGTGGTAATATTTTGTTTTCTATAAATTTATGCTGTTTGAGGGAAAATATAAAATTTTGTATGTATGTAAATTTTGTTAGTGAGGAAAGTTTTACAACTGCGAAAGGATTGAGAAATCACAAGATGGCCCATCGTGGTGAGAAACCGCACAAATGTGATGTAAGTTTTTATAAATTGGCACAGAGTCTTACAGGGGAAACTTCGAGGTGCCAGATTAACTGGGTTTTCACGGCATTTGACCATTTTTCAAAATGGTATTTTTCAAAACCCCGGCCATAAATAAGGCCCGGGTAATTGGTGTTGGGTGTGATTTTTTTGCAGATAAATTCATTCGCTTTACTTCACAAGTCGTACATAATACACGGTATATTATGCTCAATTTGGTACAGGTGGGAACCCTGGATTTGACGGGCACCTCAGAAGTTTTCCTAGTTAGTAAATTTGTCATGTCATGAGCAATATTTGTATCGGAAGCTCGCAAAAAAAACTTTTCATACATGAAATTTTTTAGCTGAGGAAGTTAAATCAATTTAATTAAACCTTTCAGACCTGCGATTTCCGTTCGGTGACGAAATCAGATTTACAAAGGCACACTAGGACCCACACGGGGGAGCGTCCCTTTCCCTGCCCCCATTGCGAGACTGCCTTCAAACAAAGGAAACATTTGAACGCTCACGTGAAAAGGATTCATACGCCGGGCTGCCTAATCCCGAACCGGTTCCCGTGTCGTAACTGTGAAAAAGATTACACATCCAATGCAGAACTGCAGGCCCACGTCCGCCAAGTGCACACGTGGGAACGACCCTTCACCTGTGACGAGAAGGGGTGTGGGAAAGCGTTCGCAAGAAAAAGATCGCTCGCCCTGCATGGCAGAAATATGCATTAAAGTGATAATCATCGTTTTTGGCAGAATTTATGCCGTAGAATTTATTCTTATCTGTTGTATTTATTTCATCATGAATAAAAACCTTCTTGATTGGTCGAAAAAAATGTAGTTTTGATTATATTTTCTTTCGTGTAAACAAAAAGAGACTGGTCATTTGCAACGTTTTTCATATATTGATTTCACGCACATTTTACGTATAAGTATGCATATAAATTATGTATGTACATATGTAAATATTTTTGAATAAGGATGTTTAAGCTTTCAGTTGTCATTAGCGAAATTTGATTTAAAAATCAGTAGTCCAAAAGATGTTAAAGATAATGAAGCTTCCTTACTTGATAATAAGCCATACTTTAACTGAGAAATGACCAATTTATCGAACGATTTTGTACATGATGTCCGGGCAAATCTTGGCCTCCATGGTTGGGGGACCGCACTGCTTGTTATTTTGCACGAATCCACCCACCTTGTCAAGCAGCTGTTTGTAAAACTTTGCTTGATTCTTATTGTAGGTCGAGCATGGGTGTGGATTTCCGTTAAAATTGCATGTCATGGAGGCGTTTTCCTTCTTATTTCGACACACAACTTTGAATGGTCGCGGCCCACTTCCTCCACCGGAATTATTCTCCATCCCTTTACATGCATATGGTCCGTAATCATCCGCCACCGAAACCCCGGCTTGGGCTGGATTTTAAAATTTGTATGACATTTATACAATTCCAGGGTTGAATTTAATGAGGATTTTCACGTCACCTTCATAAATTTACGCCTTTCTTAAAATTCTATGCTTAGTACCAGGCTTCGTAATATACGCAAGTTTGAGGCAACTTTTTGAGGCGTTCGTAAAAAAAATTCGTAACAAAAAAAATCATGATCCTTCGAACACCATGGTTACCGAAGATATTAGGCAAGGGATAATTAAAAATAATATTTCTTATAATGTGGTACTAGTAAATCCTTTGATGCAAATTTACAAATATTTTCTTACGAATCCACAGTTGCGATTTGTAACTTACGAAGGTCGTGAAAACCTTCAATGTTGCATACATATAAATAGTATATAAAACTAACGCTCAATTGAATCCATTTCTGCAACGGAATCACTATGCGAAATTACTTGGGCTATGATATCTAGAAAATTTTGAAGGTTGGTAACGTTATTAACCCAGATCGATATAATGACAGGGCTGGATGGAATACTTAAGATGACCAGAGGTGGGGAAAATACTTTGCGAAAGTGAGTATTTTGAGCTCTGTAGTTCCAATGATTTGAATTTCTCGAGTTTTTACACCCACAAAAGGATGCAAATCTACGTGGAGAATGCAAAAGCCACACGAAAATACAGGTTTTCTTAAGAAATTGACTTTTTATCCCTGACAAAATACAATGTTTTCAAGATTGTCTAAAATAATAACGTAGCTTGACCGCGATCAAGTTTATTTCAAAAAACCTGTATTTCTGACTGACCGTTGTCTTCCCCCACGTAGATTTTCGTCATTCACAGCCCCGGAAATAAGAACACTGGTAAGAACGGAGCCCAAAAGTACTGTATTATCCATAAAGTATTTTCCCCACCTCTTAAATTGACTTACTGCAAAAAAAGAAAATCACCCAGACCGAGTTATTGAAGGGATGGTACATGATTAATTTTATTTTGTTGAGTGAGAGAGAAAATGAAGTCGGATTAAGTAACAGATTAATTGGGTTGAGGTCCAGTTTTATAAGGGAACAATGAAACCGGTTTGCAGATGTTTGTGGGAATATTAATTGGCCAAATTACATATGAAAGTCGACCGAAATGGATAGTTTGGGTAATAATTGATACGAAATTCTTGCATAAATTGTACTAATTAACTTAAAGTGAGCTTATTGGGCTGAGGGTTGACAAATTTAACTAACTTGTTGGATTTACATTTACAAGAAATTTTTACCACACGATTACTTGGAAATCGATTTGTGGGCTCGGCATCTGGTCGCCAGGGCTAAAGGCAACGCAAGAATATATTTATTTTCGTATGGATACAGTCTGACATTCAATCCCTCCGATGCATATTTATAAGTTTCCTTATTTTTTATGAGCTATCCAATTAGTCAAATGGAATAATACGTAGGTACATGTGTATGTTCACAACTTTTATCAAACCTTAGGCAAGCGTGTGTGTATGACTGTGTGAGTCTCATAGGTGCGCAGCTTCCAACAGCTTCCGCCTCCGGCGTCCGCTTCCGACCAAAGTTGTGTGCTTCCAGCTTCCAGTGCTTCCGCCTCCGACCAAAATTTTCGCTTCCAGCTTCCAGTGCTTCAGCTTCCGACCAAAAATCGCGCTTCCGACGTCCGGAAGCTGCTTCCGATAGGCCCTACAACATTGCTTCCGAGAGCCTCCGGCGTCCGCTTCCGACCAAAATTTCGTGCTTCCAGCTTCCAGTGCTTCAGCTTCCGACCAAAAATCGCGCTTCCGATGTCCGGAAGCTGCTTCCGATAGGCCCTACAACATTGCTTCCGAGAGCCTCCGGCGTCCGCTTCCGACCAAAATTTCGTGCTTCCAGCTTCCAGTACCTCAGCTTCCGACCAAAATTTTCGCTTCTAGCTTCCAGTGCTTCCGCTTCCGACCAAAGTTTGTGCTTCCGACTTCCAGCGCCTCCGCTTCCGCCTAACAATCGCTGCTTCCGACGTCCGGAAGCTGCTTCCGACTTCCGGAAGTCGGAAGCTGCGCACCTATGGTGAGTCTATGTGAATTTAATAGGTGGTATTGTCACAATACTACTGTGTATGTCAAATGCTTACCAAAAAGGTACAATGATACTGAATTAAGCCAGTTCTCTAACGATTACTTGACTATGGAATAAATCAATATGTCAACCATGTTATCGCAAAATATATACATAGCTATGTACGTGTATAAGAAATTACATTTGCCATTGTCAGATAACTGAGAAATGTTTTGTTCATAAGAAAGTAAGGAGACAGTTCATAAGAAAAGTTGGGCCTATAATCAATGGCGAAGAATCAAAATACTGTCTCATTTTATAAACAAATATAATTATATCGAGCTTGGATTTGCACGAAAGTTCTTTTCCAATTCTATAGCTCAGAGGTGGGCCATTCCTTCATAAAATGTCCGATATGAATATTTTAAAAGTGTTGCTCCAGAAAATATAGTTAAATATTTATGTATAAAAATATTTTCAGCATAGCGGCATTACTTTTCTCATAAACTGGAAGAGAAGAAGTTTAATCTAATTATTAGCATGGTAAAGGTATCAAAGTAAAGCAATGTAAATCCCTCAAGCGACTTGCTCCAGCTTTTAGGGGGGACGTTGTAAATATGCCAACAGGGTTTCATATTTTAAAGCTACCAAGCGCAACAAAGAAGAATGCAGATAAATATTTTTTTACGACACCACAATTATTGGCAGGTATGTCCAAAACTCTAAAAACTTTTGAAGCCGCATAGTTACCATGGGTTACAAGAGGCCATTGTGGAAAATTTGCCACCCTTTTGGGTTGTTCTTGACTACATAAACAAATTATTTCACAAAAGCTGCACTAAATCTAGCTACTTGAATATTGGAGCTGTTATAAACAAATTTTTCACAAAAACCGAAACACTTCTCCCTACAAATGTAACCCTCATTCCATATATAATGATACGTGACCAACATTTTGTCCAAACCTTCCCAGCCAAGTGAAGACTCGTCTTTTGCAATGTTCGAAGAGTTATATTTGCACCATATTCGTCGCACTGTCGTCATCATAAAACGGGCCTTTTTTAACCAAGCATGTTTCTTTTTATGGGATGAGAAAACCAAGAGGGCTATCCCCTTGAGATCTGGGCGGAAATTTCGTCTTTTCCAAATTATATATGCCTCATTTATGTTCTACAAAAGGCGTTAGGACATGGTTTTGACGAATTCGCGGGTGAATATCTCTGGCAGGGAGTAGAATTTTGAAGTGATTTTTGGTAGACTGCAAGATAATACTCTCAAAAAGGTATTTCCAAAATTTTAAGGTGATAGCTTCAAAAATGACACCTCCAGTGTCCTCAGAGTTGGAGGGTGCCGTAAAAACACTTTCCAAACTTAAGTACTCGTATAGCATAATAACCTAAGAGGTCAGAGGTGAATTATTCTTAATATTATAACCCTAGATAATCATTGCATGTAATAATAAAAGAATCCACAATGAATTACATAACGTTGGCCTTCCATTGTCAATGAAATTTTTCCATGAAAAGTGATAAATCGGACCGTGCACGGGAAAATTGACCTGCTGACCTTGAATGCACACCCACTGGGTCAAATGAAGATTGAGGGTAAAGCTGGAAGTGTCCTGAGTAATATTAAACAAAATAGTTAAGATTTTGAGTAAACAGTCTTGGAGAAGGACCCAAGCTAATCAGCTGACGGGGAATCATAAAAAACTCGTAAACTAATTTGGAAAATTAATGGTCAAATTTTGTTGAAAATAAATTTTAATAACGTTTTTGTGTCCCCTGCTACAGAACTATTTTACCTACAAGGTACAAGTGACAAAATAATAAAATTACCAAGTTTTGGTTAGTTAAATTATTTTTGAAGTTCAACCTTGATGACGACGGAAACTTTTCCAAAAATTTTATTGGGTTTGATGAAAACTCATTTCGTGGGGTGTAACCACTTATCAAAATTTAATCAAAAATATTTACAGTGCAATATACTATATGTACCTTGGATAAAAACAACGTTAGGGATTTTTAGAATCAAAGTCCTAAAATGTGGGGGCCTTAAAAGTCGAGGAGTTGCGTTAACGAGAGCATTCCATTAGGACAAGTATGAAGCTAGACTACAAAAGTGACTTAAAAGATAAGCATGAGACAAAAATGGTTTTATATAGTGAAAAGTATGCTAAGTCTCTTGATAATACTCGCAAAGACGATTTTTGCATCAGGACCTAAGAAAAAAATCTTTTGTTCAACGCCATTTTATAAGAACACTGGTTTGGAAAACTAAAAAAGGACACCTCTCTATATTTGACCTTCCCTCATTTCGCAGAGTACACAAAACCGGAAGCCAGACATGTTTACCTATAGTTTGAGACACGGGCTTTCACATAAAAAATGTTAGAAATCTCTACAACTAAAAACCATCCTGCAATTAAAATATGAATTCGTCAAAACCATGTCCTAACGCCTTTTGTACTTACCATGTACAATACTTCAAAGCTTACAAGTTACAATGGAAGAAGGTCAACACGATCAACGAACAATCCTCCTGGCCTACGCCTTCACCTAATTCACATGGGCATGTGTACCATACACGTGAGTATTAATGAGGTATTCGGGAACCTCTAAATTTGTCTGGATAATGGAGGCCACATCCAATCTGGATAAACAATTTACAGGTGTACAAAACTTAATGTTTTAGTTACTGTAATGTTTTTCTGAATGTGCTACTCTATGCAATTAGATGCAGTGTACACGGAAAAGTACTGCATCGAGTCTGACATCAAAAACAGTTTCGCATATTGGCGGTTGGGCAAAAAATGTATGCCACTGGTTTGATTACTTTCTGCCATTCATTGCTTTGTTTGCCACGTTCTCCCAGTCAAATCCAAATTTCGGCATTTTCCTGCGAATTTTTGACTACTTAACGGCCGGTTCAGCTAGTGTGCTCTATCACTATATTGGATTGTTCGTGATTGGAGGTATCACATGGGTGGGGGCTTTGATTCTATTCACGGGCTTGGAAAGCTGTGGATTAATTACAGGATTTGGAATTATATTTGTGCACGGATGGACACTATTCCTTGTGCCGGATAGGTACACTGGTAAGCTTCGCGGAGGGCTGGGTTTCGAGCAGGGAATCCACATGTACAAAAGTATCAGGATCATTTGCATAATTCATTCTGAACTCGCTCGAGAGTTTATTACAACTTGCATGCATCATTTCTATCTCGTCTTATGTTGCAGCATGGGAGTATGGGTATCAATCAAACAGATTGTTGCTAAGGGAAGAATGTCAATTCTCTTGTCTTTAGCGTCTATCACTATTGTAAGTGTTTTTTTCTTCTAATGGTTCATAATCTGCTTCATCTCTAAGGCGGCCACGGGGTCGAAAGACTTTCTATATCGGATGCAGAAATATAATGAGAAGAGTAAGTACAGAAGGAAAGTATTGACAGCGCTGTTGCCAAATTCTATAAATCTGGAAATGATTGGGTCAGTGGAAACAATGAGGGACGGAATTCAAAGCAATTATTTTCTTAATTTCGTGTCTAGAGTTACAGACTGCACGATTCGGTTGTTGTTGGCGCAGAGTAAAACTGATGTGTTGTTAAATTACTTATTAACCTAAAAGTGTAATGTTGCGTTTAAAATCAAGCATCCTTATTTTTTAGTTTGTACATGAATGTATGAATTATACAGATGTTTAGATATTATGACATAGTGTTTTCAAATATTGATTAAATTCACAGAACTTGTTAATTTCATGAAAATAATATAAATACATGCTTATAATTCGAATATGTGTACTCCGCATATTGAATTTAAGCAAACTAAATGTCTTTAAAATTGTGCATCTCCTTTTATATCCCAACTCAAATATTAGAACAAAAGCACACAATCCACTTGCAATTGCCCACGTGGCTATAAACTTATCCAAATGCACAATCTCCGTTTCAGAGATAAGCTAATTATGTAATTATCTGTATGTAGAAGAATTTAGACACGAGCAAGCTATAAAGAATTTCGGTACGAGTACCTAACGGAAATAAGACTCAAGCTATAGCCATATCACTCATGTGTATAGGACGCAATAATCCACAATTAGAAGAGATCGATCCTCTGTCTAACACGAAGAGATACGACGATCATCCAAATATTTAAGCCGTAGCATTTTTTGCATGCAAAATAGTATCATTTGGAAATTTCGTGTTAGGCAAAGCTGTGATCGCTTGATACTAAGTTTTATGATTTTTATTATCAGCCTGGATACTACCATCTCTTACAATAAACACCATTTTCATTCGTAAGCTGACGTGTAACAGATGCTATGATTATTATGCTTCTTATATAGGTAGTTATAGCATTTTGTGTCATGATTTGCAAACCAGTTATTGTTAACTGCATTTACACGTGAATAAAATAGTAGTTTACTCTAGAGGTGAGCTGGATATCCATTTTTTTGGATAATGCATGGCCCGATCCAATCCAACTGGATTTGGATGGATCGGATCTGAAATTTTTTGGGTGAAATGGATTTGGATGAATAGGATCTGAGAGGATTGGATTTGGTCCGATTGGATAAATTTCGTCACCATAAAGAATATCAGGAAGGGTACTTTTTAACACTGCGATACAGTAACTGGGCCATACTTTTACTGCATGGTACACACAATGACAAATATACCGTCCAATCAGATTTATCCCGAACACTAACTATGAGTATATATAATATATATATATATATATACTATATATACTATATATATATATATAAATACATATAATAAATATATATAATATATATATATTTGTTTGGATAATCCATGCCCTGATCCGATCCAACTGGATTTGGATGAATTGGATCCTAAATTTTTGGGACCAAATGGATTTGGATGGATTGGATCTGAAATTTTTTGGGCCAAATGGATTTGGATGGATTGGATCTGAAATTTTTTGGGCCAAATGGATTTGGATGGATTGGATCTAAAAAATTTTGGGTGAATTGGATTTGGATGGATTGGATCTGAATTTTTTTGGGTGAAATGGATTTGGACGGATTGGATCTCAAAAAATGACGATCCAGCTCACCTCTAGTTTACTCGTTCTACACTCGGACTTGGAACTCGTATCACTGCATTTTCATATTTATTTTTCAATTATTTAGCGAATCACAATTTCTGATTTTACAATTGTTCACATGAGTCTGAAGGGCCGATTGGCGGGTGAATCCTTCCTTACAAATGGGACACAAGAAAGCCTGGTCGGGATGTTGGCGCAGGTGGTGTTCCATCTGTAGGAAAGTGTTGCGGAACACGGCGTGGCAAAATTGGCAAGCGCAGGTCGAGTCTGAATTCCATAAAAATATGTACAACAAAAAATCAGATACAGTTTTTATACAGTCTTAAACCTAGGGTTACAATTTTCAAAAGTACACAAATCCTCGCTAAATTCTAAATATGTAAATACTATCACAACTCAGGAGTAAGCTTTGTTCGTTGGAAAATTTGCAGATTTCTGCAATTTGCATAAAACCTTGGCAAATATTTGTATCAAGTTTGAGTTTCACTAAATTATGTATCGATTAAGGCTATTTGGAAGGAAATCGAGGTGTGACTTAAGGTTCCCTTGTAGGTAAGTATTTATACTAATTAACTAAATACCAACTTTCTACATATTGAATTCTGGCTATTCAAAAAGGTAACACTATATTTAAGAGTGTATATAGAGATTTTTGTAATTTCGAAATATTACCATTTTTGGCGAGTCGCACCCCTCCAAGTGCGTCACCCAGGCAGCCACCTAGTCAATCTTTACTTCACATCCGTACGGACAAGACGTCTTGTCGGAAAAGTGGACCAACTCGACGTGAAGGAGGAGGTGCGCCTTTTTGGCGAATGTTTTTGCACACACTTCACAAGGGTAACGCGGCCTGGATAAGTTGTTCGGCATGGAAAGGTTGTGCCATTGCTGCATGTGCTTCTGCAATAAGGTCACGTGCGCAAACTGCCTCGGGCAACGGGTGCATTTCCGTTTAGTCCCGCCAGGAAGGGAGCGCGGGATTCTTGCTTTCTGGTCGCATCTGTAAACAACACATTTTTTATTTACACAAACAAATTTCAAAAACTGTGGCCAGTAAAATTTTAGAGAACAACATAAATTAAAAATTCGAGGAAATTTATTGTGAAAAATTGGGAAACAAATTTTTTAATGTTTCAAATCGACTTGTTTCAAGTATCAAAAATTAGATTCAGATTAAGCTATCAAAAGTTGCATTTATCTCAAAACTCATTTTAGAAATTGCATATGAAGACATTGGATAGGGGTAGAGTGAGATTACGCGCTAACGCGTCATCCATGGGAACCTTAACATTATTTTTTAGTGTCATGAATGAATATGTACATGCATAAAATCCGTCTCAGAATTTTGTGCGTATTTTTTTTAACGAAAACAGAAAATGTATTTGAAATAAAAATATATTTCAAAATTTGTAGTCATTCTGCCAGTAAACCTTTCAGATTTTTATTCAGTACGTATGGAAATTTAAATATATCCACTCACCCCGTCTCCCTCGTAGATCCGGCTGGGGAACACAATTTAAGATTATTTTCTTATCTTTGTTAATGATATTTGAAACTCACCGGAAATCTTGCTACCCGGGGAAACAACATCGGGATGTAAATTTTTATTCATCATGTGCCGGACGAGATGATTACTCCGCGAGAACTTTATGCCACATTTTTTGCACGGAAATTTTCTTGATTTTAAACGCGGTTTGACCTCTAAAAAATATGAATAAGACATTATCCTTATGTATTAATTAGTACAATTTGACACGTGCTAAATTAAACTGTGAGTATAAATTAATGAGCATATTCATAACAAATTCGCAATATACTTCGAATAAATGCAAAATGAATCTACACAGCAGGCTAAATTCTTTGCGAACTATTTTTCCTAATGTGCAAACGTTTTGTCGTACATAAATAAAATTGTTGAATAAATTACACTCACGGGAAACATGCGCATCTGCACTGTCCGGGTGAATATTCTTGTCCCTCATGTGACGCACGTGGGCCCCCGACGTGTTAAAGGAGACGTTCGGTTGGCAGATGGTGCAAAGGAATTTTTGTTTTTCGGAATTTTTTGGAACGTTTCCGATGTTTGCTGTGCTGCCAATGTTTCCAATTAAGGTGCAATGATGCTGATTGAGGACAGCTTTACAGGTAAATCTTTGCGTACAAGTGGGACAAGAGTACGTGTTTGCGGGATGGATGCGGAAGCGATGTTCGATCTGCAGGAGGATGTTGCGGAACACGGCGGGACAATATTTGCAAACGCACTCCGATTCTGCACTCTAATAAAAAAATCGCGAATAAAAAGTACAATTCCGAATTCAAAACCCGCCTACAAGAGAACATTAATTATCGATTTTTTTACCATTTTTGGGGAATCACACCCCTCCAAATGTGTCACCCATTCATCCTCCGAGTCAATCTTGACTTCACATCCGTACGGACAGGACGTCTTGTCCGGAGAATGGACCAGCTCAACGTGACTATTCTTGGATTCTGACTTGACAAAGGTTTTGGAACATATGGTACAGGAATTTTCTTGCCGCGGGATTGGAACATCGTGACATTTCTGCATGTGTCTCTGCAATAGGATCAACTTCGTGAAGGTTACCGGGCAAAGGGTACACTTCCGGCGGAAAGGGACCCATTCGTGCGCGTGGCGTTTGTGATGGTCTAAATCCCTGCTGGAGAAGTAACGCTTGTCACAATTTGGACATGGAAATAATTTCTGAGGTTGAGGCACGGACCTGTAAAAAGGAAATAATATATTTTGTTAATTCGAAACCTTGGATTTAAAAAAATATTTAGAGATTCCAATCCGACTCGGATTTAGACTTACCGATCTCCTCCGGTTGATGCAGCTGAGAAATTAATTAGAATTATTTAAATTAAATTAGAATTTAACTAAACATGTTCTGTAACTAATCTTACCGAGAAAATCCGCATCGGAAATGTCAGGATGTATCTTCTTGTTCCTCAAGTGTCGGAGGAGTTGCTGATTCTTGGTGAATTTCGTGCCACATATTTTGCACGCAAATTTTTTCGAAGCTAAAGGAGGCGGAACCACTGTAAATTCGACTAATTTATAAAGTATAATTATTATTTTGGGTATTAATTATAAATTATCTAGATACGTTTTTTAATGATTTGTGTACTAAATAAATAAAATTCACCTGAAATGTCAGCCTCAGAAAGGTCGGGATGTATTCTTTTGTTTCTCAAATGTCGGAGGAGATGGCAGTTTTTTGCGAATTCTTTGTTACATATTTTGCACACAAATTTCGCCGATGATGATAAGTGAGGTTGACGGTCTAAAGAAGGAAGGGGTCAATAAATTTGAATGGTTTATACATTACAATGAGCATTAGGGTTTTTTCGGAGATTTGATACCCCAAAAACCCACAAAACCTCGGGATGGCAAACCCTGATTTTAGTTAATTAACGATAAAATACTACTCACCGGAAACATCAGCGGCTGAAATGTCGGGATGAATATTCTTATTCTTCATGTGGCGTATGAGGTGATCATTTTTGGTGAATTTCCTTTTACACATTTTGCACGTAAATCTGTATTTTTTTGACCCTGCATGGGGCTCACTGTTGGCGTCGTCATCGTCACTTTCTGGATGGTAGAGAGGGTCCGACGTGGTTTCTTCGGGGTCGTCGATCGGCTCGATTTTGTGGAAAGATCCTACATTAAGGCATATTTATTTTAATTAAGGGCAGTTTTAATAAATAAACACTTTCTCAACTAATCTGTAATTAAATTATTGAGGGTACTCGTTCACGCATGTGCGCGAGACAATTGATTTTTGCAATGTGAATTTGGAAATTAAGGAATTTGAAATATTTATTTATATATTGAATATGTATGTACACCTCAATATACAGGGTGGTTTAAATGTGAGGTTACAATGGAAAATTTTTTAGTGGGAAAAATTCGTAAATTTCCATCAGTTGAAAATTTTTTAGTGGGAAAAATTCGTAAATTTCCATCAGTTGAAAATTTTTTAGTGGGAAAAATTCGTAAATTTCCATCAGTTACGGATTTGGGATTGAGATTTTTAGTATTTTTTGGGTTCAAAACTTATGGAACACTGATGACAAAATTCTTAAAATATTGAATTTCAGAGGAAAAATTTCAGTAACTAATGGAGATTTTCGAATTTTTCCCGTTGAAAAAATTTCTAACGTAACCTGGAAAATTTTGCAAAAGAAACATCCTCTAAATCTTACTTATATAGTTTCAAGATTTTTGTTAATTAATATCAAAACTAAGGCAGTAGTACTGCCTTAGTTTACTGCGCTACTGCCGCAGTACTGATGACAAAAGCCTCAAAATGTTGATTTTTTCAGAGACAAAATTTCGGTTGTTTATTGAAATTTACGAATTTTCCATTGTATGTAGCATGACATTTAAATCACACTGTGCATTATTCTAATTTCCCTTAGTAAATAGGTAAAAATGTGTACCTGAAACCTGAGAGGCAGCGCCATCTTTTGAATCAGGAGTGACCCCAAGTCCAGACTTTGGAACCGGACCATTTTTGGAACAACGGTGATTATGGAGAACAGTGTGGTGGATAAACCTCTTCCCGCAGGAAAGGCAAGGGCGCGTATTTTCGGGATGGACGCGAAGGCGATGTTCCATCTCCAAGAGGAGGTTGCGGAACATGGCAGGACAATATTTGCAAGCGCATTCCGATTCGGCACTCTAATAACAAAATTAAAGCGAATTAGCGGATAAAAATGCTGCCTCCGGTGGAAGTTAGTGGGTTAATCGAATTGGGGAGAAAGTATGATTCGGTTGGGGTTTTTAAATAATTAAAAACAATCGAATTAAGTTATGTATGAAGGTAAAATTTTTCCAACAAAAAAAAATTCGACTTCGGTTCGATTTAGTCGAAATTGGTCGAGTTGAAATTTTTTGAACGGGAATATTGCGATTCGGTGCAAATCGATATTTTTTGAACGGGAATATTGCGATTCGGTGCGAATCGATATTTTTTCAGGTGAAATATTAGGATTCAGTACGAATCGATATTTTTCCTCGTTAATGTTTCGATTCCGTACTAATAGATATTTTTTACGGGAAAATTCCGATTCGATAATGAAATATTACAAGTAAATATTGCGAATCGAAACTTTTCTACCGGGAAATAATTCGGATTCGGTCCGGATAAACCAGAAAAAGTGACCCTCCCCCCGAATTAACTCAGCATTAAATATTCAACAATTTCAGCTTTTTACCATTTTTGGAGAGTCGCACCGCTCCAAATGCGTCACCCAGTCAGCCTCCGAGTCAATCTTGGTTTCGCATCCGTATGGACAGGACGTCTTGTCGGGCAGGTGGACGAGTTCCACGTGGCGCTGCTTGGTTGTCAGACCGGAGAAAGTTTTTGCACACATGGGACACGAGTGACGCGCTTCTTGCCGTGCGCCTGCCGGGATTGGAATATTGTGCCGGGCGAACATGTGCCCTTGCAATAAGGTCAATTTGGAGAAGACTTTCGGACAAAGGGTACACTTCCGGCGGTAAGGGAGCCATTCGTGAGAGCGAAAAAAATGTTGGCGAAAAGTCAAGTACGAGGGGAAACTCTGGTCGCATTTGGGACATGGGAGTGGCTTCTCGTGCAGAGAGAGGAGCCTGTGGAAAATTTGGGGGCATTCATAAATTATGTAACGCAAAACTGTAACGCCATTTTGTAGTAGTAACATGTGACACATAGGCACGATCATATATACCTGTTCACTTTCATTCATTTGACTGATTATGATGGTAGTGAATAAAAATAGAATTCAAGTCATTTAATGAAAATGATGAATGAAAGGGTTTTTTGCTCATCTCATTCTTCACCGTATGCTTAATACATGGAGCGAAGTAGGAAATGAAGTCCTATGAATTTAAACCAAAATGACTGAATATGAATGAAAATCTTTTGTCAGAAATGAATTTTGAATGAAAACTAATTTTTTTGAGCATGTAGAGATATCATTGGAGCTTTAAACCCTCTTCTCCCTATCACGTTACATAATTTATGAACGACCCCTAACGCATTTTGTTAATTCGAAATTACCTTAAATTTCAAAAAAATAGGTTAACTTTCAATGTGAAAAAGTATTAGCTGGGAATTAAATATTAATTGTTTTCCCCAATTTGCGGGAAGCACAAAAAACATCCCACTCGAAAAAGAAACTTTTAGGAAATTTTTGGATATTTATCCTCACCGCTCTGTCCTTTCAAATGCCGTTGTAAATAGAAAGAAATTTGCATATTTAGTATTAGGTGAGTATTTTTTTCAGCATGTTTTTTTTTCATTAATCTCACCCGCAAAATCCGCATCAGAAATGTCGGGATGGATTGTCGTGCTGCTCAAGTGTCGGAGGAGGTGACAATGCCCGGCGAATTTCTTAGGACATAATTGGCACGCATATTGCTTCAATTCTAAATGAGGATGAAAGCCTAAAGAAGTAAGAAAGAAAGGAATAAATAACGAAACTTGAATTTTTTAATGGTCAAAGGGGCGTTCATAAATTACGTAACGCGAGAGGGTCTATCTAAGGCTTCCATGATATCGTGTCTACTACGCTACAGATGTCTGGAAAATTGGAATTTTTGCGGTACGTAATTTATGGACGCCCCTCCTAATTATTAAGGGGTGAAGCGAAGCGAAATCCCTTTATGGAAATGTCTTGTCTGTCCGTCCGTCTGTATAAGTTTAGAACGGATTGGAATCTTTTTGCGGAACATGTTTCTAATTTTTGAAGTACGCCTGATGTCCAAGATGGACGTTGTAGATAACATGGTCACGGCGCCAACAGTCAAACGTGTCGAATTTTTTGTTTTGACATAGTTTTAGCGGGGATTTGAAAAAAATCGACATGGATTCGATGCACGTGATCATGTCGCTTCACCCTTTTGCTACATCGCGTTTATTCTTGTTAAGCTAAACAAAACTTACGGGCAATATCAGCACTGGAAATGTCGGGATGAATATTCTTGTTGGTCATGTGGCGCTTATAGTTGCGATGCCTGTCAAATGCGACGTTGGGTTGGCATATTTTGCAAACATATTTTGGTTCAGCAGGGACCCCTGGATTGGCCACGGGGGCAACGTCGTCATCCTCACTTTCTGAAATTTTTAGAGGATCAGCCGGATCGTCGGAAATTGGGTAGACTTTTACGGAAAATTCTTCAATTAATTGTTGGTCAGCGTCATTGTTGGAAATCTGGTCGGAAAGAGGAGGAGACCCCTCGTCAGGCGCGGCGTGGCTGGATAATTCTGCATTAGAGACAGAATTTGCATATATTACATAACTTGAATGAATTATGTACATTATGCAAATCAGCGAGAGTGTGTGTATATTCATCCAATGTTGGCGATCTGGCAAGTTTGCGAATGAATTTGCAACCCTAGATTTTTTTGCGAACTCGTAATTAATACTTATGTATATTGAGGGTACTAACGTCAATCATATCACGCAAATTGGACATAGAATAGCAGCACATGTAACTTGCGAAATTTGGTGAGATTGAGATTTTGCACAACGTTTGCACATTTATTTCAAAAATTTACCCATGTTCTTAAATATCTCGCAAAATTGTTCCGCAAATTCATCCTCACCAAGCATGAAAAGCAAGAGAAATTACAGAAATCCATAGAAATAACATCAAAACAGGTGGTTTTAGTAGATTTGCGAAGTCAAATTTGGCAAAAGACACAAATTTTATAATCTTGTCAAGTTGATGTTTTTGCGATGCGAAATAACACATTGTCATGCGTCCGATAATTATTCCCAAAAATACTAACCGGAAATATCGGCGTTAATATTCTCGTTCCTCACGTGGCCATTCAACGTGACGTCCGGTTGGACCGTGAAGTCTGATTCAAATTCGGGTCCTGAATTTGTGCCGGTTTTGGCGGAACAAAGGTGCCGAGAAAGGACGGACTGGAGGGTAAATCTTTGCCCACATTTTGGACAGAGATGGGCAGGTTCAAAAACAGGTTTTGGAGGAGGGACCACTCTGCAAAAGAAATTGATTATGAATTTCTTAATTCGAAACGGGTGGTGCACTCTTATAAATTCAGGCATTAATTAAAGTAGATAATAATAAGTTAAAATAAATTAAGCTAAACTTGAATAACTATAGTTTAAATTGAACTTAAAATTAAATTATTGGTAGAAAATTTGCACAGAACTGTAGGATTATAGTAAGTACTCTAAAAAATCTGGTTTGGATTTTGTACTCGAAATACCCTGATTTTTTAGATTGAACGATTTGCTTTTAAGACGCCTGAATATTTTACAAGCTTTGTAAGCTTGGAATTTTCTCAGATGACGTAAATTTAAGTGATTTACCACATTTGAAAACAGCATTTTCAAAATACGCAAGAAAAAATAGAAAATATGAACATTAAGAAGCAACTACTCACCGCTTTGTCGTTCTAAATGCGGCTGTGGAAAGAAATTTATTTTGTACAAATTTTGTAAATATTTTAGCTTTTCGATTTTGTTTTATAAATAAATCTCACCCGCAAAATCCGCATCAGAAATGTCGGGATGAATTTTCTTGTTGGTCAAATGTCGTAAGAGGTTAGAGTTTTTTGCGAATTTTCTTTTACATATCTTGCAGGCAAATTTCCTTGTTTGAAAGTCTAAATACAAAAATTTATATGTCAATTTAAATGATTTTTGTACACATTGGGGTAATTATTATTGAAGGTCGTCTACGTTTTTTGCAGTAAACGTCACTTCGCAAAACATATGCATATTGATATCTTGGCAAATTTGCAATGTTTGCTAAGAATTGCGATGCGAGAACCATTCATATTTACATATTTAATTGGGTTTTGCGAAAGATGCAAGCAAAATAGCATTTACATACATATTTACTTGATAAACTATTTTTCGCAAACTCATGCGAAATTTAAATTCTCCTCCCATTTCAGTGCATATATTTTCATTTAAGGAAAGATCCATAAATTATGTCACCTAAAAATCGCGAATTACTAAACCCCCTCTCGTGTGCCATAATTTATGGATCGTCCCTAATATTTACGTCACGACTCGAATTTCGCAAAATTGCGAAACTGACATAATAAAACTCACCGGTTATGTCCGCATCGGAAACGTCGGGATGAATATTTGTATTCTTCATGTGGCGCTTGTAGGCGTCAAAACTGGTAAATGTGACGTTGGGTTGGCAAATTTTGCACAAGTATTTTGGCACGTGGGAATTTGCAACGTCAACGTCTGATTCGTAGTCACTTTGCCCCCTTTCTGGATCGTAGAGGGGATCAGACGTGATTTGGTCAGAGTCGTCATTTTCGTAAATTTGCTCGATTTTTAATTCTTCCTCCTCTTCGGGTAATTGATGGAGGTCCACATTGTTGCAAATATTGGGGGGAGAAGACCCCTCGTCAGGCACGACTTGTTGGATAAATTCTACATTAACGACAGAATTTGGGTGATGTAATTGGCATCAATTATGTAAATTATATTATGCAAATTATGTATTGGGGGTAATCAGCACATGTTGCATTCATCATCAAATTCGCATGTGAGTTTGAAAAAGTAGTTCGCAATTTGACTAACCAGCTAGTAAATACATATGTCAGGATTTTAAATACAACTTTGAAAAATTCGCAAAAAAATTTTGCAAGCCCAATATTTTTTAACCAAGTTTCAAAGTTTTTTGCCAACTTGTAATCATATCTCATTCATTTGACCGATTATGATACTGAATGAAAATTAATTTCTTTATCATTTGAATGAAGGATTTCGTCGTTTCAGACGAATGACTATGAATGATGGGATTTTTTTCATTTTTCACACTACAAATGCTTACTACATCGAGTCTGATGAAGTGAAATGAATTTGAAGAAAAATGACTGAATGGGAATGAAAATCTTCAAGCAGAAAGTGGGGTGACTGACTTTTGAATGAAAACTGAATTTTTGAACAGCTATACCAGGTATAGAAAGTATGTATGTAGGTACAGTATACCTACTTGCATATTTTCTGGGGATTTCAAGAAATTTTTTCAAAAAACTCACCGGAAACGATGATAGTACCCGCAACATATTTTGCTCCAGGGTCAACGACGTCGGGCCCCGAATTCTGCGACGTGGTGGCTGTTTTTGTGCAAGGATGATCGGTGAGGGCGGATTGCAGGGTAAATCTCTGCCCACACGTGGAACACGATAACGAGTTTGCCGGATGGACGCGGAGACGGTGTTCGATCTGCAAAAGGAGGTTGCGAAACACGGCTGGACAATATTTGCAAACGGATTCAGATTCTGCATTCTAAAAAGAGAAAATCAGGCAATAAAAAAATCACTTTTCGGGTACAGAATTAATTAGGAGTGGAGTCGGATCCATGTTTTTTTAATCCAACTTCATTTGTCGGATCTTAAAATAATTCGACTTTTTGATTAAACTTTTTAGTCGTTTTTTTTAATCCGATCCAATCCGATTTGGTCGAGTCATTAAAAAAAATCTGATCCAATCAGACTTTGTTGGGTCATAAAAAATATCCGATCCGATCTTGTTGGGTCACAAAAAAATTAAACACGTGGGTATTGTCTACCCTAAAACCCTCGCAAAACCCCAAAAAACCGGGAACCTACCCTCGCTTTTCCAAAAATTAGGATTTACCATTTTTTCTGAATCGCACCCCTCCAAATGTGTCACCCAGTCAGCCTCCGAGTCAATCTTAACTTCGCATCCGTACGGACAGGACGTCTTGTCGGGAAAATGGACCTTTTCCACGTGACACTGCTTGCTCGTCAAGCTGCTCAAGGTTTTTGCACAGATTGCGCAAAAATGCCGGGTTTCTTCTTCTGGAATTGGAACATTGTGCCGGGTGTGCATGTGCCTTTGCAATGAGGTCGAGTTTATAAAGACTTTGGTGCAAAAGGTGCACTTGCGTTGAAAACGGAGCCATTCGTGAGAGAGGCGAGTGTGATGTAGTAAGCCTCCGCTCGAGTTGAAACTCTTGTCACATTTTGGACACGGAAACGGCTTCCGTTTTCGGGGGACGACGGGTCTAGAAAAAATGAAAATTTTAAAATAAATAGATGAACAGTTTCAATGTTTTTAAGCAACTTGGCAACTAAATGGGAAGTTTGTGAAATCAAGTATTTAAGAAAATGAAATTCAAACTCTTCAAAAATTAAAAAAAAACAGAAAGTGGGACGTCCATATAAGAAATGTCACATTTTGGACACGGAAATTTTGGGGTGACGGTCACGGGTCTAGAAAAAAATGTCAAACTTGATAACCAACTTTGCTAATTGGATACCTTTGATTTAAAGAGTTTCAATGCGAAAAAAATTATGTGTGAATTGTAGAATTGAATTGAATTTGAAGAATTGTATGAATTAAATATTGTGGAAATCAAATCATGGTGTATTAAGAAAATCGAATATTTAAGAAGATTTAATTCTAAAAAAAATAACAACTATTTAGTAAATGGAACCTCCATAAATTACGGGACAAAAAACGCTGATTTTATTATTACCACTAACCCACTCGTAATCATGATAAGGGACCGTTCATAAATTACGTAATGCAAGAGCGGGGGGTCTTAGGTTCCAATTATATCGTGACGCCTATCTTACACAAAGGGGGGTCTAGAAAATCGTGATTTTTGCATTACGAAATTTATGGACGGTCCCTAAGCTGAACACGAGTAAGATATGAGGCGACCGGAACGGTTCGAATCTTATTAGATAACACCTTTTTCACGACGTAATGCATGAACATCCCCTATTTGAAAATTTATACTCACCGTTTTCGCTCTATTGTTGTCTTAAATGCGGCTGTGAAAAATGAATAAAATTTATATTTTAGCTTTTATGTTTATTTTTGAAAACTGCGATTTATTATGTGAATAAAATCTCACCAGCAAAATCCGCATCAGAAACGTCTGGATGAATCGTCTTACTGGTCAAGTGTCGTAGGAGGTGGGCATTCTTGAGGAATTTCTTGTTACATATTTTGCACGCAAATTTCCTTGATTCCAAATGAGGTTGATAGGCTAAATAATTATAAATGAATAATAAATATGTAAATTCAAATGAGTTAAGATAATTATTTGTAATTTAGTACCTGCAATATCAGCCTCGGAAACGTCGGGATGAATCTTCTTGTTCTTCATGTGGCGCTTGTAGGTGTCCCATCTGGGAAATGTGGCGTTGGGGTGACAAATTTTGCACACATATTTTGGCACATTGGAATTTGCAACGTCAACGTCAGAGTGGTAATCGTCACTTTCTGGATGGTACGGAGGATCAGACGTGATTTCGTCACCGTCATCATTGGTTAGCTCGACTTTCACGGAGAATTCTTGCTCCACTTCAAAATATTGGGTTAATTGTTGGGCGTCGTGATAGCAACCAATTAAAATTTTCCACCACTGTTCAGCCAGTATTAATAGTCTCAATTCCTTGGAAATTATTCTGAGAGATTATTTGGTGTTTTGAAAATATTATGATATATCTGCCAGGAAACCTCTCAGATTTTTTTCAGGCTATTAATATCGGCTGAACAGTAGTTTCCAATATTCGAGTTTTTTTTTAGAGAAAACAAGAAAAATCCACTTTTTAACATTTGTCGGTATAGGGAAATTCCAAAATTTGGGGAGAAAAATACCCAATAAAATCCTCTTTTCACCATTAGAGTTTCCCACAAAATACCGAAGAAATATTCTCCTTTTAGAGAAATTTTTGTGTCATGGATAGTAATTTATGCAATACACACATTTGTGTATTTCTTCCTCAACGGAAAATAAAATACTACACAAATTTGTGTACTTATAAGAGGTTAACTGCTTAAAAAAAATAAAATATGATAAAAAAACATCTCACGGGAAAAAGCAGGGTCGGAAACGTCGGGATGAGTATTCTTGCTCCTCATGTGGCGCTCGAGGTGGGACTTTTTGAGGAATTTTCTTTTACATATTTTGCACACAAATTTCCTTGATTCCAAATGAGGTTGATAGTCTAAATAATCATAAATGAATGAATAAATATGTAAATTCAAGTGAGTTATGTAGTTAAGATAATTATTTATAATTAACCACCTGCAATATTAGCCTCGGAAACGTCGGGATGAATGTTCTTATTCTTCATGTGGCGCTTGTAGGTGTGATAGCAGGAAAATGCAGCGTTGGGGCGACAAATTTTGCACACGTATTTTGGCACGTGGGAATTTGCAACGTCAACGTCAGAGTGGTCACTTTTTGGAGGATCAGGCGTGATTTCGTCGCCGTACGTGGGCTCGACTTTGACGGAGAATTCTTCCTCCCCGGTTAATTGGTGGCTGTCATCATTGTCGACTTGGTGGGCAGATTCTGGATTAATTTGTAATATAAATTCGTACTTTAATTGCAATTTAGTAATAATTAAAGTAGATTTTTATTTATTTACCACTAATTTCGGCAGATTCATTTCGCACTTTATTGAACGGTCCGTTCCTTCTGGAGATTATTGCACGGAGAGAAATTGTAATATTTTCAATCTGCGTGGTCAACTTGGCCAACGAGAGGATCGCGGAGGAGCAAATTTTGCAACAAAAAATTGGCAGATGATCGTCAGTTTGTAAAATGAGAGAAATTTGCTCCTGATTTAGGACGAATTTGGCAAGAATTTCCATTTGTTGCACGGCGAGAGGACGCTGATTTGTCCCAGATTCGGAGCAGATCGAACACGTGCTTAATTCTGGGAAGATAATAAACGAATACATAATTAATTGCAGTTTAAAATTTAAAATTTCAAGCGACACTATTATAATTTCGAGTAGAGTATTAGTTACCATTGATTTTTGCTTCATTTCGCCCTTTATTGAAGATGATTCCATTCCCCCTGGAAATGACGGCACGGAGAGAAATGGTAATATTTTCGATTTCCGTAGTCCTCTTGGCCAAAAAGAGGGTTGCAGAAGCACAAATTTTGCAACACAAAATTGCAGGATGATTTTCCGTTTGTAAAATGAGAGAAATTTGCTCCTGATTTGGGACGAATTTGGCAAGGATTTCCATTTCCTGGACGGTGAGAGCGCGCAGATTTGTTCCAGATTCAGCGCAGATCGAGCAGGAGGACGTTACTTCTGGGGATGAGTGATCCCCCTGGGGAAAGTTGTAATCGTCCCCGGGTTGCGTTGGGGGGACAAAATTTGACCTCTGGAGAAGGACCGTGGAGGAAAGTAAGTCTTGCAAAATGTGTCCCGTCCCCTTTTTTGTAAAATTAGGGAAACTGTGTTCCTTCGACATTTTCTGTGTAAAAAAAACATTTACAGGTTTTGTTAACACTCTTTTTTGCTTTATTTAATGTGAAAACTTCACAGTGAAATTGAAATGTATGCACTTCTAAAATTTATAAATTCACGTAAATTACCCTTATTTACAAATGTATGTACGCACGATTTATGACGTGACGATCGTGAAGATTTAATTATTTAACTGACTAAATATTGTGTATTTAGATTTATGGAAGAAAGTTTAACTCAAATATAATTTAGCAGAGTTTTGGTTTTGTCAGCTGTGTGGGTCTGGTCGGTTTTTTTTAGCCGAGTGATTGCCGCTCTCGAGATGGAACAATGTCGAGTTTTCATCAATCATGGTTTGCATTTTCATGAAAAATTCAGCACACTCGAATTTGGCCAGGTTTATGCATAAATAAATACGAACATTACAGTGGTAATCATCGTTTTTGGCAGAATTTATGTTGTAAAATAATTTTTGTTATTATTATGTATTTATTTACTTCATCACAAATTAAAAAAAAAACCTTCTTGATCTGTCGAACAAATGAAGTTTTTATTATTTTTTTTTGCATATGCATAAGCAAAAAGAGAGTGGTAATTTGGAACCTTTTTGTCTCACGCACATTATATGTATATGCATCAACATTTTTACTATGTATGTATTTCTAAATGCATGCATACATGCATGCATACTGTATGGCTAAAATTAAGGGAGGAATCTATCTACTTAATTTTTGGTAAGGAGACGGTTATAAAATATTTTAAGGTTAATTCAAGGCATAAAATACTCCAGCGCCTCTTCAGCCCCCTCGACTTCCTTCTTCATACCAAAAAAATCGTCCGGTTTTGGAAAAAATGTCCCATTTTCTTTATGCTGCAAGAAAAAAACACCACTCAATTTTCAAAATACGCTTCAAAAACTGATTAACAAAGTGCTATTTAGCATGCCCTAAATATGTAAATATTTACTCACTCACCACTTTAAAATGTGCCTTCAACGTGTGCGGCTGGGTGAAATCTTTTCCACACACGTGACAAATGCATGGCCTCTCGCCCGTATGGATGGAAAAGTGGAGCAGAATCTCGCCCCACGTGAGGAACATCTTATCGCAAAAGTAGCACCGGTGTTTCTTCGCTTTTTCGAGCTCCGCCTTATCATCGTGCGTCCGGAGCATGTGCAATTTCAAGGACTTCCCCTCTTTTGTGTTGAATCCGCAAATTTCGCAGGTAAACGTGCACTCATCTTTTTTCTGGGTGGAATGTACCCGCTTAAGGTGGCCGCTCAAATGGCGCTCCGTCCTGAAACTGAGGGGGCATTGGGGGTGGGGGCACAAAAAGATGGGCGCGTTCGGGAGCGGGTGTTGCATTTCGGTGTGTTGTTTTAGTTCGCTCGGCGTTATAAACTTTTTTGCACAGAGGGAACAAGGGTGGGGCCGGGTGGCGCGTTGTGTTTCACCATTTTGTGCTTGATTAGCAGACTAATATTCCGAAAGAGGAGGTCGCACTGGTCGCAGGGATGGATGGATTCGCCGTTGTGGCGGGCGAGATGTTGGGCGAGCTATAAGAGACAAAATTGTGTAATATTCAGTGATGCTATGGGTCTTGAGGAATGTGCTAAATCTACCACATGCAAATGCGATGATTTATTATAAAAATGGGGATTTGGTGTCTCGTATCTTAAATTTTTCAGGAATCAAAAATATATTTGCTAGGGTTTTTGATTTTTCCTGAAAAATTTATACCGGTGCAGACAAGAATTAATAAAATATTAAGATGAAGGAGTCGCAGATGTAGATTTAACATGTCCCCCAAGACGCAGAACGTCACTGGTACTTGAAATGTGAAAATGGCGCATAAAATAGGTACAAATCTCTTCCCCCCGTATGTACATACCTCATTTCCCGTGGGGCAAACTGTCTTGCAAACGGAACAACCAAACGGTCCCGTTCCATGCGTTCTTGTATGAATTTCTAGCAAAACTGGACTCGAATACGATTTTCCACAGGGGCCACACGAATAAATTAGCAACTCTGGGTGCTCGTCCCCTTCATGGCGTCGCATTTGGAATTTCTGCCGCGATGTAAACTCACATCCTTCCACGGTGCATTGATTGACCGATTTCTTCGTCTTATCGTGAAAGTTTTCCATGTGCTTCTTCAACTTATCTTGATCTCCCGGAAGGAATGGATACTCGCAAACTTCACATTTCAACGTCCTCCCACTCTTATCGAATTTCTTGTGTAATTCTTTATGCCGCTCGAACACGACTTTGGACGCAAATTTTTTATCCTCGCAAAGGTCGCATTTCCACTTTTTCTCCAAGTTGGGATCGTCCTCATGCTTTGTAATTATGTGAATCGCCATCCTTTCCGGACTTATCATGGAAAAAGGGCAGAATTCACAGGTAAGTTTCCTCTCTTTGTGGGGCACATGGCTGCGCACATGCATTTGAAATCTGGCCTGGCCGAAATATCTTTTTTTACAGATTGGGCATTCCCGTCCCCGGATTTTCTTGGGGGCTGGGGGTGGCGGGGGCAGGTCAACTTTTCTGGCACGGATTTTCCCATGGGTGACGGATTTATGGGTCAGATAAGCCGATCCGGAGGGACAGGTTATCCCGCAGGTGGGACAGACGACGGAACTTTGCTGATCGTGTAGCATCCGGTGCGTATTGAAGAGTTCGGTCAAAATGAAAACGTCCCCACAAACGGGACAGGTGTGGGTTTGAGGGCGATGTTTTTCTTTGAGGATGTGGGTTCACATATATGCCGGGTTTGTGGTGGAGTATTGGCACTTGAGGGAGAGGGGACAATGGCGTCGAGCAGACCACAGGGGGCTGGGTTCTTGGTTGTTTTGATAGACTTCGAGTTCGTGGGCGAGGTCGTGATTTTTTACGCCTGTATTTATTTAGAAAGTTTGGTAATAAGTAAGCTCAATGGTCAAGTTTGTAGGAAAATATGTCCGATTTTCCAATAATGTACAGGGTGATTTATGTAAATGTCAGGAAAATTGGTCAATGGGAAAAGCCCCTAAATCGACATTAGTTATAAAATTTGGAATTTGAATTAATTATTATCAAAACTGAAGAAATATTTCAGGGGCAAAATTTCGATAACTTATGGAAATTTACGAATTTTTCTGATTGACAAACTTTCCATGTAATTGCGTGCCATTTATACCACCTTGTATGCGGTACAAGTTGTACCGTACAACCTATTTATACACATGGATAAATCAATCTTTTATACGTATTTACCTCGATGATAAAATAAATCCTTCGATTTTTCACCACAAATGTTGCAAACTCCGGATCTGAGGAGTGGGTAGTGTGATTGAGTGGCTGCGAACGCAATCTTAATTTTCTTCGTAGGTATTGGACCAGGGGAAGAACATCGTGACGATCCCCTTGAGCTGTGTATAAGCATTAGTTTAGTAAGTTTAGTTAAATAATTAGTTGTTTTAATTGCTAATTATGATAATATGAATGGATAGACGAACCTTGGATTGACATCATTTTCTAATGGATCACGTCCAAGTTCTCCTTCGTCATCGTCATCTTCGTCCTCTTTTTGGTCAACAATGCGTAATTGTGACCATTCAGCGTCGTCACCTTCACCATCTTGCGGATAATCATCATCTTCCAATATGTTTTGAATATGCCTTTCACATTTCACGGCGATTTCCTCGGACTCCTCATTTTCTTCTTTTATCAAAACTTGACCTACAGAAAGAAGCAGAAATCATATTACGTCATACATATTTGCCTTATTTAACAATTTAAAAAACAATTAATCCATCACCTTCTTTAGATTTTAAATTCTGCTGAATTTTGTCAATTAATGGTGCCAATTTTCCATAAATTTCGCCAACTTGGGAAACAATTAAGGCACACTCGGAACAAAAACCGGTCGTCCCCAGATTCTTCACATCGCCAAGGAGATGATCCCCCACGTCCAAAATTTTAGTGACGAAATTAATCGTTTTCTTAATCGAATCGTCACTTCCTTGTGGTTTCGTAAAAGAAGTTGGAACGTGCGGACAGAAAATGCAACTCTTAACGAGGGACATTATGAATCTTCACTAATTCAAGTAATTAATTATCTGAGATGGGGATTGTAATTTAATTAAAGTGGCAATTAATTATTGCCGACGAAAGTAAATTACATATGTCATATGTAAAAAAACTTGTGTTTATTTTATGTGCGTGAAGTTATCCGAGCATCCGAGCAAGCGGGAACCGATCACAGTTATGTATCCCGATCCGACCGAGGTGAATTATTTTTCATCCGAACAAAGTTTCTGCCAAATGAGCGAATTTGTTTTCATTCTAGCAGCAAATTTTACCACTTATTAAATTTTACCTGGTTTAATTTTTCAAGGGAGACTTATGACTTAGTCGAGGATCATGATTTTAAAAGATTAGGAGGTTCCCCGTGATGAAGTAATAAATATTAGAGGTTGATGAGTTACACTTGTCTAAGAGGAAGTATCATAGGGGTAGATTATTATACTAAAATTGAACAAGATATGTACTGTGTGGGTGGAGCTTAGCTCGTGAAAACCCAGTGTTGCGCCTCAGTTCTCTGTTAAGTGAGGCGCAACACTGGGTTTTTCACGAGCTAAGCTCCACCCACACAGTACATATCTTGTTCAATTTTAGTATAGTACATCTCCAATAAACATCCTTTCATTTGTTACCTTAACCGGGCGCGTAACCGATGCTGCACCCCACACGCAATGACAGTTTTGCAGTTTACTCATTCTACCCTCGGAGCTCTGAAGGCTTAGACTCTTGCAGGTACTCATATCGCTCGGATTTTCACATTTATTTTTCAATTATTTAATGAATTACAATTGATGATTTTACAATTCTTCGCATGAGTTTGAAGGGCGGTTTGACGGATAAATCCCTGTCGACAAACGGAACAAAAGAAAGCCTGGTCAGGATGTTGGCGCACGTGGTGTTCCATCTGAAGAAAAGTGTTGCGGAACACGGCGTAACAAAATTTGCAGACGAACTTCGATTCTGAATTCTATGAAAATATGTACAACAGAAAATCAGATATAGTTTGTCTACACTCTTTAAGTAAACATAATGTTACCATTTTGAAAAGTCAATCTTCTCTAAATTTTTAACTATGTGAACTGTACGAACTCCAGAGTGAGCTTTGTTCTTTGGAAATTTGCAAAAAACTTGGCAAATATTTGTATCACTTTTTGCAAACTCATGATGAGCATGAAATGAAGAGTATGAACACAGATATTCATTAAATAAACCTTATTTCATCCTTCTGAAGGCAATGTTAAGTAAAAGCATTGAAAAAATGCAGGGTTTGGTTTAGACAAATATTTTGGCGAAAACGTGATTTTGCACCTGATGTTAATGACAAAGTTAAAGTTCTACTAAATTATTTGTCAATTAATACTTCGGAAAGAAATCGATTGCTGACCATTGTTACGGTTCCCTTTTACATAAGTGCCCGTACTAATTAATTAAATACAAACTATTTTATTAAGATTGCATTTACTTTTCAAAAAGGTAACATTATTTTTAAGAGTGTAGAGATTTTTGCTGAGAATTTTGAAATATTCCGCGTTACCATTTTTGGTGAGTCGCACCCCTCCAAATGCGTCACCCAGGCAGCCACCGAGTCAATCTTGGCTTCACATCCGTACGGACAGGACGTCTTGTCGGAAAAATGGACCACCTCAACGTGCAGAAGGACCTTCGCGTTTGTGGCGAAGGTTTTCGTGCAGATTTCGCAAGGATAACGTGACCTGTTATTGGGCACTGACAGGCTGTGGCATTGCTGCATGTGCACCCGCAACGTTGCCCCGTGTGTAAACTGCTTCGGACAAAGGGAGCATTTCCGTTTAGTAGCGCCATGAAGGGAGCGCATGTGCAGGTTGAGGTAAGGAATATCTTTCTCGTCGAGAGGGTCACGTCTGTAAAACAATATAAACTTTGTAAATGCTTGGTCACGTTAACAGGTTCGGAACTGAAGCCTAGTATTCAGGACGGATTTTTAAGTAATTCTACAAAAACCGAAGTGCAGTCGATGCCTAATTTTAAAAGGACCTAAGTACACAAAAACATTCTAAAACCACCTGACTGCAATTCTAAAATTATAAATTAATCACTTATTTAAAATCGAACTATAAGCGGAAATTTAGTTTAGAATGTTTTGGCCTGATACGCTCAGTAGTAATGGAAAATATTAAACTTAAAAACCACACTTTCAGGGGGTGTGCTTCTCGGCGGCTATATTCAACTAAATCGAATATTGTGTGAAATATATCTTTTTACTTAGGCCAATGAGCCAATCCCGACAGGTTATTGGAAATTTGAAAAACAAGCTCATGAACGGATCGGGCCAAAATATTTTAATTTCCTCTTATACTGCGATTTTAACGATAAGTAATTAACGCTTCTTAATTTTAGAATTGCAATTAAGTCTTTTTAGAATTAAGCATCGACTGCACCTAGGTCTTTTTAGAATTAAGCATCGACGAAAGCATCATTGAAATTACTTGAATGTGCCTTCAAATCAATTCCAAAATGTTACTTAAGTTTGGTTTTCTCGTTTTTGCCTGAAAAATCCGTCCTGAGTACATACTACATATGTAAATAGGCTCAAAACAGAATAGGTAGATTAAAGGAATTAAATTTAAAAGAAACGAGCGTTATCTTCAATAAGAAATTGCAAACATTGTAGCGATTAAATTTTTAGAGATTAACAAAAACAGACTCAACATAATGTCTCACGAGGGAACCTCTTATAGTGCCCGGAGCTCCCAGCATATCCCGTATGTACATTAGACGCAGTTTTTAATACTAGTATTAAATCATCATAGGACTAGTTAGTCCTATGATGTGACAAAATCTCCGTGTCAAAATGACATTTGGTCAAGCGGTGACGATTTTAGTGACGCGCCGAACGGTCACCTTCTCCCATGATTTCAATAGCGCAGCTACTTTTCGCCACACGCTCCTAATTTTGCTATTGAATTCTTAACTCATTTACTCATTGAGCGCACTGGTACTTAATTTAGCTGTATTTAAAATATAATTACAATTTACTACTCATCAATATTTTTTCCTTTTCGAATTTAAAAGTTACAAAATGTTCACGCGCATTTTTTGAAGAACAAATCCCTCTACTTGTTTAAATTCATAAGAAGTTGCTGTATTTTTTCGCATAGTTTTTAAACTCCAACACATATATTTGAAAGGAAAAAACAATATTGAAAACTTGTAAATAGTAAATAAATTATAATATGTATTACATATTGTAAATATACATAGTTAAATTAGATGCCAGTCTCACCGGTGAATAAATGAGTTGAGATTTCAGTGAGATAAGCGGGGACGTGTAGTGAAGAGGTGACCGGGTACCTCCGCTACCAAAAGCATGGCGAAAATGACCGTTCCGTGCGTCACTAAAATCGTCACCACTGGACCAAATGTCATTTTGACACGGAGATTTTATCACATCATAGGACTAGTATTAAAAACTGCGTGTAATGTATATAGTGGATATGCTGGGAGCTCCGGGCACTATAAAAGGTTCCCTCGTCAGATTTCTTCCTTTAATTAAATAAAATAAAATTGCGGAGAATACAAAACAGACATCAGTATTTCAATTTTTATTTTTTATGGAATTTTACCGGACAACCTTTCAGATTTTTTTTTGCCTCTACATATATTTTTGCTGAACGAGCTGTAAATATGAAAATTTGCACTCACCCCGTCTTCGCCATAGATCCGGCTGTGGAGCAAAATTTAACGTGGGTTTCTAATGCATACATATTTTTCAATGGATTTCGTAATATATAAATCTAGTTACCCTGGGAAATATCGGAATGCAAATTTTTATTCATCATATGCTGGACGAGATGGTCACTGCGCGAGAAATTTATGCCACATTTTTTGCACGGAAATTTTCTGAACGATGGTAAACGAGCTTTGACCTCTAAAAAAAGAGGAATAAGACATTATCCTTATTAATTAGGGTAATTTGGCACGTGCTAAATTACTTAAACTGTGATTAAACCAAAAGTTTTTGCTAATTTTCTAAATCGCGATGAATACATTTGAAACTCACGGGAAGCATGCGCAGCAGCAATGTCCGGGTGAATATTCTTGTTCCTCATGTGACGCACGTGGGCCTTCGACGTGGCAAAGGTGACGTTCGGCTGACAAATGGTGCATACAAATTTCGATTTTTCGGAATTTATAACCTTTCTCGGCGCCGTATTTCCAATGTTTCCAGTTATGGTGCAAAGGTGCCATTTGAGGACAACTTTACGGGTAAATCTTTGCTCACAAATGGGGCACAAGCTCGTGTTTTCGGGATGTACGCGCAGGCGGTGTTCTATCTCCAGGAGCATACTGCGCAACACGGCGGGACAATATTTGCACGCGCTTTCCGATTCTGCACGCTAATATAGAATTTTTAAAAAAAGAATCAGGTTAAGGAGCCGTCCATAAATTACGTAATGAAAGATCGTGTCGTGCTAAGGATAAGATGGTCGGGTGACCTAAACAATTGGCGTCTTTTGATAACCGAATATGTGAACGTTCCCCATCTGAGAATCATTCGGTGGGGTTTACCTATTTTTTCTAGGGCAACAACAACTCCGAGGATTCGGTTCGGGTGGAAATTTCTTCAACCGAAATATATTTTGTCAAAAGAAATATTCAGATTCGGTATTTGTGCAACCGAAATGTCGGAAAAAGTCTCGGATAGAAAATATATATATATTTCCTTCATTTCGGATTTTTTTTTACCATTTTTGGGGAGTCACACCCCTCCAAATGCGTCACCCATTCATCCTCCGAGTCAATCTTGACTTGACATCCGTACGGGCAGGACGTCTTGTCCGGAAAGTGGACGGATTCCACGTGACGCTGCTTGCTCTCCGGGGTGGCCAAGATTTTCGAACATATGGGACAGGAATGACTCGTTTCTTGCTGCGGGGTTGGAACATTGTGCGCTTTGTTCATGTGCCTTTGCAAAAAGGCCAATGTTGAGAAGACTTTCGGACAAAGGGTACACTTCCGGCGGTAAGGGATTCGCCATTCGTGAGATCTGCGATCGTGTTGGCGTACCCCGTCGAGCGAGGTGAAACTCTTGTCACATTTCGGACATGGAAATGGATGGTTCCGTTTTGGAGGGGGGACGGGTCTAGAAAAATATGAGAACTTGATATAAGGGGCCGTCAATGAATTACGTAATGTAAAAAGTCGATACCCCGGATTTAAAAATGGTTCTTTTCAAGGTGAAAAAATCTTTGTAATCAAGCTGAATTAAAGTTGTCGGAAATCAAATTATCCTGTATTAAGGTACTACAAGAGAGTTGGCAGGGAATTAGAATTGAAATTTTCTCAAAAATTATAGTACCAAGAAATTTTGTGCAAATATAAATTTAGTAAAAAATATGCTACTCTAATTATTGGTAAATGTCAATTGACAGTATTTCCCATACTCCGATATTTATGCCAAAATAACTTCCATCTCGGGGGACTTTTTATAAAAATTTACATATTATTGGACAATTTTGACCCTAAATGTGGGAAATACTGGAAAGTGACATTTACCAATAATTAGAGTAGCATATTTTTTACTAAATTTATATTTGCACAAAATTTCTTGGTACTATAATTTCTGAGAAAATTTCAATTTTAGTGGGGGTATAATTCCCTGCCGACTCCCTTCTGGTACGTTAAATCAAGAAGATTCAATTATCAAAAAAAAACACTACAAAATCGAACGTCCATATGTTGCGTGATCAAAAATACGTAACCATTCTCCTTCCCACCCACCAAGCCTAATCATCAGAGTCCGGTTAAATGTGTTGTTAAAAACCCCGAAATATTTATGTAAAATGTTCCTCAAATCGCCAAAATATGTATATAAAAGATATTTTTAATTCGCTCTAAATTACCTCAAATTTAACTTATTTTACTGCAGAAACGAAAAAACGCTTTTACATTTCCAAATGACAGACTAAAAACGTTTCGGTATTACTCCTACGATGATCGGAATTTTTTGTGTATTGTGAATTTCTAAGGTTTCTCTAAAAGAATTTTATTTTCGAAAAAATCGCTGAAATATGTAAAAACATATTTATGAGTATCAAAAAATGCACATTTTCTGCAAAATAGTCGAAATATGTTACCCGATCGGGTTGTTATTGAAAAAGTTTAAAATACATACATAGCCGGACTCTGCTAATCATAGCTTAACATGAGCAAGATAGGTGACCGAAGCCCCCCGCCCCCACGTTTTTGATGACGAAATATATGAACGTCGCCAAACGAGATGCTAGAAAATTGTTGGAAATTTATGTATTCTCACCGCTCATCCTCAGTCTCCTTAAATGCGGCTGTGCAAATAAATTTGTTTAGGATCAGAAGATTTGCATTTTAATATGTTTTTTTTTTAAATCTCACCAGCATGAACCCTCCTGCTGGTCAAGTGTTTTAGGAGGTGGGAATTTTTGAGGAATTTCTTGTTACATATTTTGCACGCAAATTTCCTTGATTCCAAATGAGGTTGAAAGGCTAAATAGTCATAAATGAATAAATACAAAATTCAAATGAGTTCTGTAGTTAAGATTTATCTTAACTTACTATTATAAATAATTATAATTATTTATAATAGTACCTGCAATATCCGCATCGGAAACGTCGGGATGAATGTTCTTGTTCTTCATGTGGCGCTTGTAGGTGTCCCATCTGAGAAATGTGGCGTTGGGGTGACAAATTTTGCACACGTATTTTAGCACGTGGGAATTTGCAACGGCAACGTCAGAGTGGTAATCGTCACTTTCTGGATGGTACGGAGGATCAGACGTGATTTCGCCAAGATCGTCGTCGTCGTGGTCGGAAGTTGGGCCAACTTTTATGGAGAATTCGACATCCTCTTCAAAGCATCCGGTTAATTGGGCTTCGTCATTGGTAGAAATCGTGTCTGCAGGAGAGACATTGTTGGTCGCTATTTCGTGACACAATTCTAAATTAAGCGTTATAAAATCATAAATTAATTTAACCCGATTAGTTGGACAGATTTGCATTTATTTATTTACCACTAATGTTGCCGTTTACTTTTCGCAATTTGTTGAACAATCCGTTCCTGCTGGAGATGACGGCACGGAGCGAAATGGTGATATTTTCAATCTGCGTGGTCAACTTGGCCAACGAAAGGATCGCGGAGGAGCAAATTTTGCAACAAAATATTGGAGGATGATCCTCAGTTTGTAAAATGAGGGAGATTTGCACCTGATTTAGGACGAATTTTGCAAGAATTTCCATTTCTTGGATGGCGATAGGACGCAGATTTGTCCCAGATTCTGAGCAGATCGAACACTTCCTTAATTCTATGTACGGAAATATGTAATTAATTACAGTTTAAAATTTAAACTCTCAAGCAACACGAGTAATAATTGAGTAGATTGTAATTTACCAGAAACTTTGGAGTCATTTCGCACTTTATTGAACAGTCCGTTCCTGCTGGAAATGACGGCACGGAGAGAAAGAGGAATATTTTCGATTTCCGTGGTCAACTTGGCCAACGAGAGGGTTGCAGAGGAACAAGTTTTGCAACAAAATACTGGAGGATGATCTTCAGTTTGTAAAATGAGAGAAATTTGCTCCTGATTTAGCACGAATTTGGCAAGGATTTCCATTTCTTGGACGGCGAGAGCGTGCAGATTTGTCCCAGATTCGGTGCAGATTGAACAAGAGGGCGATGGTATTTCTGGGGATGAGTTGTAATCCTCCTCGAGTTTCAGGGGATGCGTTGGGGGGACAAAATTTGACCTGTGGAGACGGACCGTGGAGGAAAGTAAGTCTCGCAAAATGTGTCCGGTCCCATTTTTCGTAAAAGTAGAAAAACCGTGTTCTTTCGGCATTATCTGTTTAAGAAATGCAATATTTGTTTAGAATTTATATGTATTTATATTTCTTACTTTGTTAAATGTGAGTGGAAGGGAATTGTATATAAATATATCTAGATTTAGGTATTACTACTCTCATTTACTGTAAATGATTTACATATCTACGTAAATAAATACGTATTATGTGTTGAATGACGTGACGAAAGTGAAAATTATGTAACTGTTTGAACTGACTAAATTTTTTGTTTAGATTTACTGATGAAAAACAAAATAATTTAGCAGAGTTTTTCTTTAGTCAGCTGCTGATTCAGCAGTGCTGAATGTGCTCCGGTTTTGAGTGAATTCCGCTATCATGATGCAAGTTGGCCGCCGCCGACGTGCAAGACAGCCGCCGCCGACAACAATGCAAGGCAGCCGCCGCCGACAACAATGCAAGGCAGCCGCCGCCGCTGACATGGATGCAAGATAGCCGCCACCGCCGCCGACAACCAGCATCTCAAATGTCCGCTAAATCTCAAGTGTCCCCAAAATCTCAAATTTCCTAACATCTCGAGGAAAGTACTCTACAAGGCTTGTTTTTCGCCCTGGCTGGAGAACTTTGTTTTTTAAATTGAAAAAATATCATTGGCAACTACTAGCTGCCAATTACTTGTTGGAAAATGTGAAGGTTGATCTCTTGAACACGTGATTGGAGTGACAGGGAAGTGCTGTAAACAATTATTCGCGTGGTGTTATATGTTGTTATTAGGAACTAATTTTAAATAATAATAAAACATAATTATATTTAGTAATTAATATACTAGATTCAAGAATTACCCTGTCGTATGTATTAAATATTAACAAATACAATTTACAAATCTCCAAATAAGGTGACGACAACAGGGTTTAAAAGTCAATCTCGTAAACTTATTTTGAACGTGCTACACTTTATTCGAGCCGTGAAAAAAGAGCCACAATTGTTGGAAAGGACACCGACACAAGTCGCAGTTAAAGCTTTGAATATTGGAATAAATTCATTCTCACAAATATCAAAAACAGGCGTCATGTCACCCAAGAGAAGACCAAGTGGCCTTCCAAAGTTATATTTCAAAGAATTTCACAAAATCTCTATCGCCAACAGCATCAAGGAATTTTACAAAACCGAGTAACTAAATATCAAAATGTTTTCTATAAGAATCCATAGCATACATATAGAATTAATAATGTTTCTTCATGAAAAATTTGCCCAACACTTAACTTAATAAGAGGTAAAATCAAGGAGAGAAGCATTGCCTCCCCCCGACTTTCTCAAGATACATTTTATGGAATTTTTGAAAGAAATGGGAGATGGTTATGGTATATCTTGTAAAACAAGGAAACATCAAGGCATGGCGAAGCAGCATCACCATCCCCGAAACCTGTGATTTACTTGGACGAGTCGTTGATTGGATGCAATGCCGTGGCTGTAAAGGGTTGGGCACGTAAAGTAATGAAGACCAAAAACGAAATGCTGGATCATAAGTTCCCTGTTAAGACTCTTAAACTCAAAGCAAATTACACATTTTAATTAAAGATTTTTGAAAATGTAAGGTTCCAAAGATGGGTTTGTTCCTGGTGCTCTTGTTCTAAAAAACAGCAAACCCACAGATAAAGACCATCACGGGGAAATCGATGTTCCTAATTTTAAGCATTGGTTCGAAACTTTTCTTCACAATATCCCAAGAAGTTCAATTATACTTATGGCTAATGCATCCTACCACTCGATGTCAATTTTACCAAAATTCAACGACAAGGTAGGAGTAATGAAAGATTGGTTGAAGAATAATCTATTATTCCCACCAAAATTAATCAACATAGAAGTCTAGGCCATTGTTAAGGAAGAAAAAAACCCAAGGCATTACATTATCGATCAACTTACAAAAGAGCATGGCCATGAAGTCTTGCGTCTCCCTCCTTATCAACGTGACCTTAACCCTATGTGTAGAACTTGTCTGGGTTCACATTAAACGCCACGTTGCGAAGTATAACTCAACAGGAAAAATTGATGACATAATGTAAATAGCTCAAGAATACATTGAGGCCTATGACCCGGCTGTGTGGGCCAAAGACGTAGATCATGTTAATAAGTAATGTCGTAGTTCACAATACTTTTCGTATGCGTTAAAATAATATATTTTACTATTTCCATTTATTTATGTATAAATACTTTTTGTATTTTTAAAATGCAGTTCATGAAAGTAGAGATGTATGGACATGCAATCATGCAGATGTGGTAATACTTGGTAAGTATGTGGGGTGATCGTCCGGGGTCCTGTGATGGATTGCATTAACCTTACACCAGGTCCTTTTGTGGATGCTTGTTATAATCAAATTATTCGGTTTAATTTAAACTTTGAAGGGTCTGCAACGTTAATCCAAAGTGTTGTTCAACAATTCATAACGAGGCTGTCATGAAGCAGCCTGATATGGACTCGTCAAATTTAGTACTTATTACGCCACGGACAAAAGCAGTAGCTAATGTAGTTCGGAATCGGTCCTACTCTAGTAAACTATTAAAATACCCACAATTTGTGCATGAGTGCTTGCACAGTGTTTGTTCAATTAGACGTACGGAAATCTCTGGAATTTGAAGTTCTGGAACATTCATGTAGCTAATTTTATTTTATTTCCAAATGAATCTTACATTCAATTTTTTTTTGTCTATAGAAAAATTATTGACTGTACTCTTGACTGTGTACTCTTCTTTCACGACATGTAACGACGAGACCACATTAAAAAATTGTAGACACAAATTTCAGGGATTTTTGAGCCTTTACAGTATCTGTGTGAATCGGTAACAATAGGCAACGAGGTTTGTAAAGCTCTCAACAACCTTAAAGTTTGTTCCATTCCTTCCCAGACGTTGGAATTAAGTTACATTTATGGCTTTTATATGCTGCTCATAAGATTAAACATGGTGAGGTCGGTAGCATACCATATCACCTGACCATGTCAAAAACAAAAGCCCCGTAAAAATGCTTCCTCGAAGGGGATGGGTTGCGTGGCTACCGTAATTGGACATTGATTATAGATATTTAATCCCTGTTTTCACTTCCGTCACGAACAAACTTCCGTCACAGACAAATTTACTTCACTTCCGTAGTCAACAGACATTCTCGCTTACAATATAGATTTTAAACAATTGAATTTTTCAGATTTGGTGAAATTTGATAATTTGAGGGACATGTTTTGTTGGTATATGTTTGACAATGTGAGGTTTTTTGAGAATTTGAGATTTTGGTGAAATTAGAGATAATGGGAAATTGGAGTTTTTAGGAAATTTGAGATTTTGGGAAATTTGAGATTTTGGGAGTGGATGGGGGTGGGGGTGGGGGTGGATGGGGGTGAGGTGGATTTGATGGGGGTGGGGGTGGATTTGGGTGGGGGTGGTTTTATAAATGCCGCATCCAAGCATGAATATATTTACCAATCAACCCTGTAGTGGTAAAAATATTAATACTTTAATTGTGAAAAGTGTGCCTTGATGATAAAATTTCATGTTCGAGTTGTTGAAAGTGTGATATGGAAAATTTTTTTCTCGTATGGAAAATTCATACATAAATGAGCTCGGATCCAAAAAACTGTGCACGGATAACTTCATGCACAAGATTTATGTCAAATTAGCATCCTGCATTTCAATAACTAGGTTGCAAAACGAAGACGAGTTTTATGCATATAGCGTCTCGATTAAATAGTCCCGAATTTCTTGAGGTAGTCTTTACTAATTATTGGAAATATTAGTAAATTAATTTGGAACCTTAACCCCAGAAAATCAAATAGGTAGGTATATCCTACAAATATATGTCCATTTTCATAAGCTTCTCCTTATCTCACCTCGCAATGCGATGTTCCCAAATGTCCCACCACTTTCCGCAGGAGCTGTTCGGAAACAAAAAAATGCACATTTGTCATTTTTAGTGAGGCAAATACCTAACAGCGAAAAATTACTAAGTATGCATTTACCCCACCCCCAAAACCTGATTCTATATCTCGGCCATTTTTGAAAAGATTTTGATGACATTTTGCACAGATCATGGTTGCGGAATTTAGAAACAAGATGCTGGTCGATTTATTCGAGTGAAATTTTAAAAATAATTGCGACGAACTTATTTTTAAATGACAATAACTTGAAATCACAATATTTGATTTTATATACTTTCCATACAAAATATGTACCAGTATATTTAACTATAAATATACAAGGTGATTAAAATGTAACGCTACAAATTGGAAATTTACGAATTTTATCCATTGATAAATTTTCCATATATGTACATATTATATGTACATATGTACAGATCTTTTTAACTGATTGCGGTTAATTTTGTGTCAGGGACCCGTGCATGTATGCATTTCCACCTTTCCTACTATATATTTATTTAGTCATAGATCCCTTGATGTCTCCTCCACCTTAGGGGCCGTACATAAAGCACTTGATCGATTTTCGGAGAATTTTTCTACCCTTACCCCCCTCCCCCTCCCCCCAGTAACTTACATATATGCACCATGCTATAAATAACATAACAAGGATATATGTAAGTCCTTGATCCTTATCCATCTCAAACCGATCACATCCTTTCTGCACAACGCCTTATAAGCAAATAGACTCAATTTAATGCGAGAATTGCATGACATAGGGTCCACATTAAAAATAACCCCTTGGTTCCATCTTATGTCACAGGGAACGTCCATATATTACGTCATGATTTTAGTGTATAGGGTGGTTTAGGTCTTTCCATTGTTAAAATTCCATATCTTTTAATGTTTACACGCTAGGTGGGTGGGTGCTAAAATTTAGAATTTTTGATGACATAATATATGGATGGCCCCCAGGACTCCTGCTCCTTTCACTCATAAACGTTAGTTTGGGCGCATGTTTTTCGTCGGGAAATAATTTTTCTTGAAACAAATAATAAATTTTTCCATTTTACATTGGCTCTACGAATTAATTAATATTTTGAAATTTAGTTCAAACTAAAATTTTTCCTTAATTTCTTCACCATAATTGTGAGCTGGATTATAGAAAGAAACCATGTCAAAATCTGTTCCACAAGGTGACAAAGTAAGTTAATTAATTCGATATTTAACAACTTTATAACACGGATGGTCAAAATACTTTGTGAAAATACAGTATTTTGAGCTCGGTTCGTACCAGGATTTAGATTGCAGGGGCTGTAGTGTTGCACCCACACAAAGACCAAATCTACGTGGAAAAGGCAACAATCTTACGAAAATTCAGGTTTTGTGAAGAAATTAACTTTTTATCGATGTCAACATATATTTTTCCACGACTCTTAAAGAACAGTATTTTGC